AATTTTTTTTTTTTTTTTTTTGAAGTCGTTAGTTTTTTTACATATACATAGTAAAATTGAACATAGTCGTACGTCGTGCAGTTGAAACAAAACATTTTATAGTGTTACTAAAATTGACAAATTAGTCTTTTTGTAGATCTTGGTAAAAATATATGTATAGAAACTGAACGTATACATCCGTTTCGATAATATACAAGAGTATTTGTTGGTAGTTATTTTACCTGCCTACGTTAAAATTACCATTCACGGCACACGAATGTCAAGGGAACACTCGTGCCGTGATTATGAATTAAGTTTTTCCATATTAAATATCTGTAAATCTAACTAACTATCTGAATATTCAATAATACTTTTTTAAATGGTATAGGTTATAGAGACAAATATCAAACTATTCATATATAGTGATATATGTCGCAATATTGTTAAAAACGCAATTAACACAATAATTGTGTTATTTAATACGAACAGCGGCGTACCGCTTATCATTACTATAAATTGCTCTTCGGAACTATACCAACACATGAATCATTTACAAAAATCGATTAATTCCCAAACGCATTCTACATATTGATTTTCCATATCACGTGTATAATATTATAATATTTTTTTGTATAAAATATAAATATTGTTGTTGATATGATATTAGATAGGTACAATCAGTGATGTGACCCCGTCACAATTTGAGATTTTAATTTTTTTTTTTACGAATCCTACGTCATACATATTAGTTGCATATTTTGCAATTAAAAACGTTTCTTTGTTATTTCAACTATATGCGCGTCGCCTATTTGGCGTAATTTAATATCCCGAAAATCCGTTCAAAAATTTGTTTAAAATTTACAACCTCCTCTCCCCTGAAAATAAATCCTGATTGCACCACTAGATACAATAACTAATAATGCTGTATTACTATGTTTGAATTACAAAAAAAAAAAAAAAAAATGAATACCTACTAAATAACCAGTTAGACACTTAAGATATGTAAAAAAATTATAGAATATTTTGAATATGGGAATCAAGCCAGCATTGTACATTTATATTACATTTTTTTAAATTTTAAATTGGAACGTGATTACAATACTTGCATTTAAAAATGAAAAAAACGCTTACCGAGTGTACGTCAATATTAACATTTTAACAATATAATAATATTAGCTTATATACAGAGTGTTCCATTTAAATGAGTACACTCATTATCTCGGAAAGTATTAACTTTCTACGGAATTTGTTTTATAGAACATTTAAAAAACAAGCAGCTCTATAAAATTGTATACGTTTGTTATTTTTTTGTCACTCTTATTTTTGGGGGTAAACCACTATCTATTTTTGATTTTCAAATGGCAAACTAAATTTAAAATTCCATACATAGATTTAGTATTAATTCAAATAAATTTTAGTGCTGAAATTTTTTATTTCCATCAATTCGTTGACGAGATATTCCACTTTTAAGTTTGGGTCGGGGAAGAGTAGTGAAGCACCATTAGTACGACACCCCCGACCCAAATTTGGAATTTTTCAACAGCGGATTGACGGAAATCAAAAATGTCAACATCGAAATTTATTCAAAAAATAACATAAATGTAAAATTGTAGAGCTGCTTATTATTATACTTAAATTTTCTATAAAACAAATTCTGAAAAAAGTTAATACTTTTCGAAATAATGAGTATACCCACTTAAATGGAACATCCTGTATATAATTCGTAATTCGCCACAACGCAGTTTCCTCTTATTTCGTACATAATAATGTATCGACTAAACGTTTTTACATAACTGTAGATGTTTTTTAATTTTCAAATCATTGTACATCAATATTGTGATATCGGGTTTTCGTCAATTCTTTGGAGTTTCTGTGGAATCGCGTAATCCGTTCATTTTTAATATAGTATCGTTTGTCATGCGTTCTTATACGGACCAACTAAAAACGATTCTCTGATCTATTATTATGCTCATTATATTTATATGTTTAAACGAGGAGCGAACACAATAATAACGTGCGTACGTACTTCAAACCTCGGTTAGGCCAGCCAATATTTTAAATGTTAGTCTACCAGGTGAACAAGCCAATATTTAGTGTTAGTGGATATTACTTAAAATGTGTTTTCGACGACAAATCATTAAAAATATTAATAAATGCCATACATATTATATATATACATGTCACAGACCAGAATCTATATAATCTATTCATACGATGTCCAATACACGAGTATACAACAGTATTCAACATTATATCGGAGTAAAAAGAAAAACCGTTGAGAGAAAATAAGAGAGTGGTCGAACAATAAAAACGAACAAAATATATGTTTGAAGATCATGGTCGGGGAGGGACCAAAAAATAATAAGCGAAACAATATACGGTCGTAAAAAGCAAACTGTGTGAAATAAAATGAACAATATAAACGAATAGGACGAAAGCCCACCCTGTAATAGTATATAGAATTTGGGATAAACTTTTTGATTGCAAAAAATACACCAATGTCCGAAAAAACCGCAGCAAAGGCGAATTTTATATTGGACGCTAAACGGAACGAGAAAACTATTGATTATATTATGTTATAAATTGTATTTATTTTTTTCAGTATATTCAGAAAAATTGCTTCATATGTTAATTGGATCACATCATATTACTATTATCGCCATTTTTATTATTTTAGGAATTGAACACAAGTAGTATGGGTATCGGTTGTTTTTTTTTAATCAACATTTTTACTCATCTGTAAATAATTAAATAATATAAATAATATAATTACTGTTCAAATGATTTAAGTGTATTTATTAGGTTTGAAACTATTGGCAGTACAATATTATAAACTCCGCGTAAATAACTATATGTACACTATAATATAGAAGATTTTCAGAAAATTATAAAATGTTCATTGTGGTCCGCGAAATATTTCGAAAAAAAAAAACATAATACAAATTTGTGTAGTCAAATGCAATCATTTTAAGACGGTTATATTTTCAGAGAATAAAAAAAAATGTTGTAGTTTTTTCTTTTAATAATATTGTCTTGTAAAACCCTTAAATACCCCAACAATAAAACACGTACTAAACCGTTTCATACAGCATCATACTATAAAACATAGACGATATTATTGTATGCCACTAGATAATATGTACTCAAAAAAAAGCTTTTTCAATTATTACGAAAAACGGATAAGTTTTTACGACACAGTTCGGATATTACATCGTAACTCGAAAAATAATTCTAACCATGCAGTGTCTTTTATATCCAAATAATAATCGTAATATTATATTATAAAGACGAAGTGGTCGAATTTCGAAAAAATATTGGTCGAGTTCGGGCTAAACAATATGTATAAAACTTTCCCCCCTAATAGACTACCGGACCGAGGGAGACCGCGATAGCATTGCTTCCCCCGACCAGTTTACACTCCAACCAAATATCCATGGAGGAATCTAAACAATACTGTGAATTCTGCTCAGAATCATTTTTCTAACGCAATAATTTATCGTTACTTTTAAATATTAATGTTTGAAATACATAATAAATCAACTAGTGATCCTACCCGACGTGCCATGTACCTTACGTCGTCATTTTTAAACTTTTTTTATAAAACTCTCGATATTGAATGGAGAATAAAGTAAATTTTAGATATACAGATACATTTTTCCATTCGATTGACAGGATAATTGTTGTTTTCGCGGTACTGTTGCAATTTATAAACGGATAATAGTAGAATATACCGTGTAAAATTAAAATTGATTATTATACGATTTTTTTGTATATTTCCACTTTCAACAGTCACAGTGTGGTATGAGAGTCAAAAAATGATCAAAAGGAAACAAAATAACGTCTTAAAATAACAACTTATCGTTATTTTTTTTATAAAAAATACAGGGGCAATTAGAAGAAAATTATATGCGTGCAACATTAAAATCATTAATTATTAATAAAATTACGTTCAGCTTTCGCAAGACGTTGAAACTCGATTCCGTATATCATATTGCACGAGTAGGTATTCGCGTACACCTGCGTATTTAAAAAACCGACGACATTTCGATGATTAACGAATTTGGAATGCCGTTTAACGTAACGTTTTACTGAAAGAAAACGCTGTCTTAGGTCGTTTTTTTATTTTTTTTGATTTTTCCTCGTAGTTTTCCGGGAGTTGTAATCGGGAAAAGCCGGGGAAATTTACGGCAATAACGGTTTCTTTATTTGCGATTTTATGTTTATTTTTATTTTTGTTACCGTTGACGATTGAAAAATATTCGGAAGTGTTCACACGTGATACTTGTATACGTATTTATATTTATTATTAACCCTTTGTATAGACTCGGTGAGAATCATCCGGCAATTTCCGAGCAATTTATAGGCATTTGAAAGTTTTTTGCCTCCTCTATCGCGGTCACGGTCATCCAAAGGTTTAATAACCGCGGCAAAGGTCACATAATAATAATATAAAATATAATATACGACACGACATTATTACGACGACGATGACAATATTGTCGGAACAAACGCGCATAATGTTTATTACGAGTCGTATAATACGTCAGCGACGGGAGAGAAGAAGCGTCGGCGACTGCGGGTGTAGAGAACTTTTTAGAGAGAACGTATTATCTCGAGCGTTTCGATATCGTCTTCGTTACCTACCGACCGTCATTGGCGCGTTTTTTTTTTTTTTTATTATTATTGTTTATCTCCGGTGCTTGTACAGAGAGTGGAAAAAAAACAACCAATACACAGATAAAACCGCCAATAACAATATTTATTTATTTTCAATTTTTTTTTTTTTGTTTCTATAATACACCCGTATCCCGTACGCGTTTTATTGATNTTTACCTACGTACTCTACAATAAAGCAGCGTAGAAATACGTATATAATAATATTATTTCGTTTTCGTGCGTGTGCGCAGCGCACGATTTAATATACAACGATTACCGGTGTTATAATACGGAATACACAAGTGCTATTTTTTTTTTTTTTTTATTCCAATCTATATTATTGCCTTTGCCCTCCCCTTCTTTTCCCGCCGCCCGGCGTAATCGACGCCGCCGCCGCGATCGGCTACAGTCGGGCGTCTTAGTTCGGGAGAAGGAGCGGACCGGTTCTATTATATAAGGCCGCGTGTCCCGTCGGCCCGGTCTCTGTGTCCAAGTCGCTCAGTTCCGCCGTACACCACCACCGGCAACCAGCTGACAATCGCGGTCCACTTGTGAAAAAAGCAATCAAAATTTAAAAAAATTAAACACACGTTATTTAATTTTTTTAAATCCAACGCACGGTTTTCGCCGTTCCCGACCGGAACGACCTAATCGTACGCATTCGCTGCGAAACACACGCATTTGTATTACTCTTACGCCGTAACAGGAACGCATACGGGCTTACAACATGAGGACCAAGCCGGAAATGATGGGTCAACTGCGACCGGCTTTCAGCGAACTCAACATTTCCGAAGGTTTCGAATTCGACACCGAAATCGTCACGAACGAGGTAAATAAAATATATGGCGCACTTTTTTTTTTTTCTGTATCACAATTATAATATAAAGGTTCTCTCGCTCTGCACATCGCCTTTGCGATATTTACGCGGTTAGGTTAGGTTTGCGTTATTTCAGTACAACGACAGCTGATATTAGGCAATAGTATTATAATTGATTATTATAATACCGTCTGATAATATCATTATTCGCATTCTCGTCGGGATTATACGCGTAAGGTATAACCCGTATTATACGGTAATATTATAATAACAATACGGCGCGATCGTATACATTTACCTACGTATGTGTTTCGACATCGCGACCATCACAACACGTCCGTTCGCATGGAAACCCGTAAAAGTGTGCGAATCGATTTCTATTCTATATTTCCCACCTGTCTTCCCCCCCCCCTCCGTGCCCGTAGACGATATTATTTAAATTTTTAAGGGCGCCCCACGACGGTGTCTTTCGCGCGCTATTTTTTACGTCGCATTTTACCGCGCCGTCTTTGTCGTTATTATAACGCGCGGAGACGATTTTTCAGGCGAACACTCTCGTTGGGCACGTGAAAACGAAAAAAAGGGTGGGACACATATATACCTACGATCGTATGAAAACAGTCCGTTTGAAAATGTCGAAAACTAAAAATTTATCAACTACCTTTTGGTTGTTTTTTTTTTCTAATAAATTTATCATAAAATACGAGTATTATATATTAGTATACGCTCGTAGTTCGGATTTCGTCTTCCAGAGAGTATCCGTGTATATTATTATTGTCGCAAAATGGTTTTTCGTTATTATTCGGTTTCCCCCTCCCCCTCCCGTTTCATTTATAAGCGAATATATTATAAATATAACATTATAACGTTCAACCGGTAGGTATATAGTAGTTACCGATTTTTAATAACGCGCAAAACCGGCTCTCCGTTTATTTTCCCGGGCGATAATTTTTTATTTTTTTTCACACAACCGACACGCCGGGCGTACGTAACGCGACTACTGGTCGACGACGCTCGCCGTACGTTTGTATTAGTACGATATATTACATTATGTATATGTGTGTATAGGTGGTAACTGATAATTAACATAATAATAATATTAACATTTTTTTTTTTTTCACGGTTGCAACGCCGCACGTATAATATTACAGCGACGAGCGATAGTATTACTTTCGGTGTTACCGTCGAAATAAAACCGTATAGTAGTATAGTCGGGCGATAAAAAATGCAGCGGCCGCGGCGTATAGGCACCCGTCATAAGCTCGGGCAGCGAATCGGGTAGACGCATCTTTAAACGGAACATTCATCTCTGAGGACCGGGACGCGTGGTCGTTCCAAACGGATCGAGAGAGAGAGAAAGAGATAGGCCGATACAAAGCCTATAGCGCGATAGAGTGAAAATTTGCGCTCTGAGAACGGCCAATCGAAACACCCCGTTTATTATCGCACGTGTTTCTATCCTCGAAACGAAACTCCGCCCAACGGAACGCGTTTTCGCGCCGAATGGTCCGTCTTGCTCTAGACCGTCCAAGTCTGTAACAGAGACGCTTAAAGCGAATCCCGTCAATCCCACCGTCGGGTGCCGAACGAAAAATTTTCCACGGGAGCGAAATACTAATCGTTGAACATTATTATTATTATTATTATTATTATTATCTTCTTCTCTGTAAAACCGCCTCTCGTATGTATAAGGGGGTAATAATATTATCGTAGTTGGGCATTTGAAAGCCGGATCCGAAAAGGCCGATTTCCGACCGATCACAAGATTGAATTACTATACACCCGCACAGCAGTCGTTGCAGTGTATTCGAGGTAATGCGATCGCGAGTTGGAGGAATGTAACCCGTCCCACCTTCGCACGCCACTGAACACGTCGTTTGTATAGTACGCCGTGCAGTTATAATATACATTTTCCGCGCGATAAACGATACGTACGGATAACAATGTCCTCTCCCCTTCCCCATCCCCGCTACTCCGGCCCTCTCATAACTACGCCTCGGTATTTCACTATACAATTACCTGTATATAATATAATCGATATTATATCGATATGCGAAATCTCCGGTATAATAACTCGACCGGAGGCGATTTATTATAAACTCGGACATTGAGAAAAAAAAACGTTCTCGCGACATATCCGGTAACTATCGGCCGGTCAAGGCGCTTCCGGGGTAGTTTCCGATAATATTTGTACGCGGGCGTTATTATTACACAATTCCTTTGCCCTCCGCGAGGTTACGAGCGCTGTTACCGATCCGGTGCATTTCATCATAATAAACGCCGGACAGTCCAGTCGTTTTCAATCGTTGTCCGAACGGCCGCGAAAAATCGATTCCTAAAAAAGTCGAAACCGTCTCGTCTCTCGCTCAGTGGCGGCAGTCGGAGGCGATTTCGTCGGAGGAGCTTGGAAGTGGGGAACTGGGATGAGGACAATTTATTTTCCGCAAAAACTATCATTATTGCACGCGATACGATGTAGACGTTTGGGAAAAACGACGCGACGAGGGAGCGTATCCCCCGCATCCCCGTAATAAAGTTCAGCCACCCTCCTCCCCCTCACGTGAAAAACATCGAGTGGTGCGTGTGGCACGCCGTGACGTTTTAGATATACGCTTCCAGTGACGTACAAAATATTTTTCATACTCGAGGACCCGCCCGATCGAAACGCGGATTTTTATGGACGTCCTACAAATAATAATACAGCGACGACTTTATTTAGCTATATTTACTACACATAACATATATGCATAGGCTATTATATTATAAGTATTAGATATCAATAATATAATATTTCTTTCTTCGGATTTCGGCCTTTTAAGACCATTCCGTCAGACAAATCCTCTTCCAGCTCTCTGTCTTCCGCCAATTCTCTCCAATTCACCTCTGGGCCCTCTGCCATTATATCCTTTTTAACACAATCCTCTCATCTAATGCGTGGCCTCCCCAGCGGCCTTTTCCCTGTCGGATATGTTCATTGCTTTAATCAATGTGCCATTTTTTCGCCAAGTATGGCCGGCCCACCTTATAGTCTTCTCTTTTTGATTTCCCTCGTAATACACGGTCTTTGGAATAGATTTCGGATATAAAATTTTCCTGTAATAGTATCTCGGCACGGGCCAAATATACGCCTTAAGATTTTCCTTTCGGTCCGTTCGAGACTTTCAGTCTCAGTTCGTCCGTGTTTTTTAGAGCCCATGTTTCAGATCCATAAAAAATGTTAGGCCGTATTCGTGTTATATAGATTTTAATATTCAGATTTTTTGTAAATAGCTCAAGATCTTATAAGAAGTCCAATACCAATATAATATAATAATACAATTCGCAAAACCAAAGACATTTCTGATCTCTGAACTATATAGTCAATCTCAATCTGCAACATTTAAATTATTCGATCACCCACCCGCCCGCCCGTTTTAGTCACGAGACGATCGCCTTCAAAAAAAAAATTAATTCAACACGCCACTGCAGTATGCGTCGATCGTATATTCTATACCGTTGCACGCGCGTGAATTTCTTTCGGCGCGCGCACTAGCGTTTTCTCGGCCGGCCGCACGTGACTTTGCAACGACCTTTGCGCGCGCGCGCGCGCGCTCGCGCGGGTACGCGTCACGGTACCGGGCCAGTTTTCCTCGTCGACAATAATAATTTCATTACGCTTCGAAAACGTATGCGCGTATCGATTGTCGAAAACACGACACCGCCTGTTCCTCGTCCTCGGGCCTGCCATAAAAACGCGCGAACCCGACACTTTCATACATACCTACCTACATGTTCCCGCGAACCTACCCCTATATATTATTTTACACACACTCCGCCGTATTTGACCTACCTCCGTCCACCCCCTTCCCAAGGAAGTGAAAATTCAGGGGAGAGGGAGCATCCTTAATTTTTATTAATTATCAAACATTTGTATTATGTGTCTTTTCAAAAAATGTTGAAGGTATTGTAACATACCTAATATTAAATTTTACACTTGTATATTAGTAACTGTAATTGAATACAAACTGCAACTTTATTATATTTTTCGCGAACTCGTCAACAACTTTTTCTGCTAAATTAAGTTCTTCGACATTTTCCTACATGTAAACATATACATAATAGTACATATAATCCGGGTAAACGATTTTCACACATTATAGATCACCGCAAGTCAACTGTCCGCGAAAAATACCCACAAATAATCGGCTGTACCGGTTGGTACCGACTTCAAATCATGTATGGCATGTATTATATTGTAATAATAAATTAGCGGAATTCTATAAACACGGAGTATAACACCTACCGACTAGGTGCCAATCAGAATGTATTGATAAATATCAATTCACCCCTTGGTACCAATAATGAATGGGATTTTAAGACATTGAATTTGGATTTTTGATTATTTTAACTTGTCGAAAAGCTAGGGGAGAGTTGCTCCCCCTGCCCCTCCCTCTTGTGAACGCCCTTGCTCTTCCGCCACTCAACAACTACCGCAGGCCCGATTTCGATAAAAAGTGCGCGGTATTCACAATACCCGTTTTTCACGTAATCTATTTTTTTTCGGAAATTTAATTTACATTTAACAAAAAAACAAACCGTATTTCGCCTATCGTGCCTGGGCGGCTTTAATACGAAAAAATGTTCAACATTAATCACGCGAACGCGTGACGTTATCGAAACGAGGGGAAATTGAAATTTATTTGAAAACGGTCGGCACGCGCGACTAAAATTCGCTATTTTTTATAATATTACGTTACGGCGACGATAGTTCTGTAGTTGTTCGGGTAACACTATCGAAATACGATGTGTAAAACTAAACAGAAAAAAATCACGAATCGCGTCCGTCAATTAACACCAATAAACTACTCCAATAAAAAGTTTATTACGTTCGGTATCGACGTCTATATAAAAGGATACTGATTGTACATATTATTTTTTTTTTCCATTTTTATCGAAATAATACAATTTCGACACTCCGTTCGATTTATTACCCGTATATAAAAAATAATAATTTCTAAATAATCGGAATTTTGATAAAAGAATAAATAAATATCGTCAATTTCGATTTGATTTAGTATACCAATATAGCGGTTTAAATAGTATATTTGAATAGTCTATTTTTTTTTTTTCATCGACATTCAATTATACGATAAATTATAATCACATCCTATTACGCACTAGATTTGAATTTCCAATAAAAATTATCGATAGGTCGTTTTTATTTTTGATGAATTTTGTAAAAAAAAAAAAAAAAAAACTTGTGTAACTTATATAATGTCAGGTATATTATTTAATACGCATGCATTATTAATGAGGATAATTATTATTGACGAGACCAATACCGAATCCGATCGTTATAGTCGTCCTGCAGCAGAAACTCACAACCAGTCTTACGAAACGTGAAAGCTAAAAATACATATTATAAGAATATATTCTCCGTGCACATTGATACATAAATCCGAATACACCTGAATAATATTAGGTATTCATATTTCGCTCCATTTTTTCCCCTTTTTTACGTTATAATAAAACATTTCTATGTATTACAATAAACGCGAGTACATCGATATTAATATGTGTATACAAACAGCGCGTTTAATTAATTAACACGAGATTATCGCGTGACATATTACAAAATCATATTTGCAAAAAAATCATCACCTAAAAAACAAAACAAAACCTTAAGAGCTTAATACTATTTTCCCGAGATAATACATTAGGTAATGTTATCTATACGTACGATTTGCTAAAGTAAAAATCAATAAGTGCCTGCCTATATAATTGCATGCGGATTAAAAAAAAAAAATGTATTAAATTAATTGTATTTGTTTTTCGTCATGCAAAAAATAGTCGATAAACGCGTTTACCTGCGCACATTAAACAATATTATCGTCGGCCTATCCTATTAAAACGTATTAGGTATCTTATTATCAGACGGTCCGATATAGCGATTTAATATACAGCTGGGTCGCCTTAGATTGTCTAATATTATATATTAATTATAGAATAATAATATTATGTAAACGCGCAAATACACGACGGTGATGTATACTGTGCGTTTGTATAGTTTTTACGATTTTTAAAAAATTAGCTCTCGACTATTGGCGTGTGTAAAACCAAAAAAAACTTAATAACTCGCTCTTCGACGGCCACCGTTCTGTTTACACAATTGGTAAATAACCCAATCGATATGACTATACAGAGTGATCCGGTTATCGTGATACAGGGTTTTAAAAGGATTTGAACTTTGTGTCTATTTTCAGACGGTAAATTGATAACCCTTCACTAAACCTGGCCGCTCCTCCGGTCTAAACTTTTAACTGTTATGATCCACAAATGGTAAATTCGATATGCGCATTATGCGTATCCGCGAATGTGTTGAAAAAAAATATACCCTATCCGAAGCTGCGTTCAAAAAAGGGAGGCGATAGGTGTTTCCTATTGGAAACTCAAAAGTCGTCTGTAGTACTCGTCGAACAAGAGGAGTACGGCGTAAAAAATCGAAAATAAAAGCTTAAGCGATTGAGAAAAAAAAACGCACTCGATAAATTCTCGTAAAAAATAATTCACGATAAATGCATCGCTCTGTGTGCACTAAAAGTGCATAAAATTAAAGTCGACGGTTTCCGAGAAACCCAAGTGGTTCCTAAATAACGAATTCGTGTTTGTTTTTGTTATTTTTTTCTGCACGCCCAATACGCGGGCGACCTTGGAACGTTTATTTTTTTTAAATTCGTTCACGTTTAAGGATAATAATAATCCGTCGTGTGCGTGTGTATACAAGCACTCTGGTGTTTATAGGTGCATTTATAATAGATGTATACGGGGATACCCATTACCTTGGACGGCACTAGGGAAATATTGTGAAAACGGATCCCTCTTCACCGTTGTCGGTTCAAAAACGAAAATGCGTATATTATAATATGGTCGTCGGCATATTACCGATTGATATTGTAACAATAATATTATTATTATCACGCCGTGGTGTAAATATCAAGGACACACGTTATGACGTATGTAACATTAGCTATACGGTTGTCGGATTTTTTTTTTTTTTTTACTCAAAGTAGGATTTTTTACTGCGGTGTAAACACAATAATATCGGACGAAGAGTCGGGTGTAAATACTTGTAGCGAAAAAAGAAAAGAAAAAAAAAAACACGAGTGCTGTCGACAGACGGCAGTAAGCAAATGACCACAGCAGCATTCCTTCGCGTGACCGCCCTGCAGCAGTGCAGTCCGACTGCATCACAATAATAATATGCTAACAATAATAATAATGCGTATAGTATTGTACAAGTAGAAGAGACCGACTGCGACGTTTTTATTTTTTTTTTTTCGTCCATAACACACTCGCAAACATTGAACGTGTACACTTTTGTACACGTTCATTGAGACGTCTGAGGACATTTCGAATTGTTATATTATAATAGAGCGAATTTCGGAATAGTTACTGAAAAAAAAAAAAAAAACAAATCGGACCCCCGTACGCGGCTGTTGATTATCGATATCAGAAACGATTGTTATTATTGATAATACACGTAGATTTTTAGCGAATTCGAATTTGGTATTTTCCATCGGACGTCGCGGAATCGTCTATTTACAACATTTTTCTACCTCGTTCCGTAAGCGTTACAACCGAATGCCGGAAAGAAAAAAATTTGCCCATCGGTATAATCAATATAACCGTTTAAAACGCGTTCAATGTTTTTACATTCAATCACGGAAAACCGAAGAACTTCGAAATCAAATTCGGTCAATATTGTCGAAACATTTTACGAAACTTTTAACACATAAACGTATATACTTTGGTACATCGGGAGACTTTTTTTTTTTCCGTTTAACCGTTGAAACCATCAACACATCAATATTCTTAGACGCTCGCGTGAATTGCGATAAAAGAATCGCCCTGTATAAGACATCACTCGTCTACACTCGTAGCCGTCGTCACCGTTATGACGTCCTACGTGCTCCGTATTTTTAATTTTTACCATAGAAAACGGGGTTTATTATACTCTGCGTTCCATGGTCACACTGGTTACCCGGGACGTCGAGGACCAAAGGAAACGCGCGTCTACCCCGACCCGAGTACCTCTATACTTGCGATCATCGTTGTTTTTTTTTTTCTCTCAATATACGAGAGTATAATAGGTCTCCTCGCGTGAGACCGCGCGCGATTCTATAATAATATTGTTATTATTATTTTTTTTTTTAAATTATGCCGCGTTTTTTTTTCTTTTTTTGCCGGCGGGACCGGGTGAGCGGTGCATAATAATAATAACAACAACTACCAACGCGTGTGTATCATAATATCATTGTACACGCATTACGTATGGGCAAGCGGCCGTACACGCGCGTAACAGCCTCGAGGAAATCTTTGGAAATGCACTCCAAGGTCAACGCCACGGTGCTGCCGCCGCCGCCATCCGTATGGCAATAATAACAACGCGTCGCGTTTACGATGATAATGGCAAAAATAAATGACAGTATAATAATACGCCGCGTCCGTCAGAGGAGACTGTGTTCGGACGGCGAGACGTTTCCTCGGCGGGTGCACCGGTCTACGAATCGTCTCCACCGGTACCGGCCGTTTTGATCCTTACGAAAACGGAAATCGTATACGAGAAATTCGATTTAACAAGCGCCTCCCGCCGTCTCCGCTATTCGTCCCCGTATTGAAAATCAAGTTTCAGCCACGTTTCCCGGGGGTTATAAGGTGTAAATGATCGACCTTCCCAATTCTTTTGAATGTCAAGTGCGATCGAAGTTTCATCGTGATCGGAATGGCACTGAACATTCGCGCACGGACATACGTCATGTTGGTACACGAGATTGTTACCGACAACGATTCTCCGGAGTAAACGAGATTTTTTTTCAATTAACGTGTAGGAACATTGAAAAATCAAACGGTTTTTTTTTTTTTTTTGTCTTATCGCGTCGATAATCGTAACGTAACCGACATTCCGCAGTAAAGGCGGTATTCGGATGACGATGAATAGACTCGCCTCCCGGTGCTCCGTCCGCGTGATGTTCGTAAACAATATTGAGCAAGATTTACATAGCGATACAGTTAGGGACATGCACGAATGGAATACTTCTACGCATTTATTACGCCGTAACATTCAATTCCACCGTACTCGTGACATTGTTGGTTGGTCATGTCAAGTTGGTAGTATAACGTATGAATAATACGTACGGTTTCCGATACCGTGGCTATACAATCGTGTAGATAAGCACCCATTAATAACAATAATCGCATGGTGCAAACAAAAATACCGAATTATTTCTTCTTCCATGACTGCCCCCGGAACGGCCCAAACTAGCGTTATTTCTCTCGCGATACATCGCTGCCCCTTTTTACCCCGAAATACATTCGTTAACCCACCGAGAAATGTTCACGGTTTCGTCTGTAATATAATATCATCGTTCTCTCGTTTGCATATTGGTCAGTCGATTTTCGGTATTTGATCGGCATGTGTGTGATGTGTGATGCTTCACCGCATCGCTGGAATGCCGCCTATAAAATGATCAATGAAACAGAAACGTTTAATATTGATCTATGCGAACATTTTAATTATACAAAACAAATTCCATCTGGGCGTGCGGTAGTGCGACCTACCTATATCTTGTACGTTTTTACGATAACATTTTGAACTCTGCACTATTGATATTTTACACGGTGATATAATATTATCGTTTTTTTTTTTTTTTTTCCCCGCTATAATTACCTAAAGGTAATGTACAAAAGATCGCCTTCGATTGACACTAAGTCGTTTTGACCTCTGAATTTGGTTTTTTTTTTTTTTCATAAATATTACAACAGATTACCTACTACAAAATTTGACACGGATAACTTTTTTTTTCGATTATCCTACTGCACCTGGGTCATCGATATAAATTTATTCTGTATGAAAAAAAAAAAATAATAATAATAATCATACTTATTTTTAGCAAACTAAATCGATATCTCGACCTTCGCGATTTATTGAATAACTTAATACGAATACGCTTGTTAAATAATATCGTTGATTGTAAAATAAAAGTTCTATTTTTGTAAAATACTTGCACTGGATCCTGTATGAATATATTTGTCCGTTTTATACGACCTCGAAAAAAAAAAAGTATTACCAAAAATGCTCACACTTGTACTCTTTCTCCTCGTCTCACTACCCCCCACCCACTCTCGTCTATAGTTAATTGTACGAAAAATTATGATATCCGTTTATTTGCTTAGCGCATCACTTATGTTTTTTGCTGCTGTTTATGGATCTTCAGACGCAATGGCAGTAGGTAGTGGCCGATTCGACATTAAATGTTCATCCTGCTGAACAATATTTGATTTCACAAATTAATTAAAGAAATACAAAACTCTTAATTGAAAATCGACAATCGTTTGAACCGATTTTTAAATACTGCGCGAAATATAGTTAACACGTTTTGAATACACACCTTATGAATATTTTTATCATAAACTACTTTTATATAATTTCCATTCCGTTGAGATTAATTGTGAAGGTATTAATATTAATGAGATTAATCGATATCTAATGTCATTAATCGTATCTGCAATCCGCGGTTAGATAAAAATATCATACGCACGTTGTTGTGCCTACTTTCTAGTTTTCGTTTTGATTGCGTATCTGCAGTATACAAACCTGCCTAAATACAGCGCGGTTTCAAAACCGACGCAGTAAATTCCAAGCAAATATTTTCATCGAAAAAAAAAAAAAATCGTCCATTTTTTTACTATCGCCGTGACGCCGTACAGTAGGTGAGAATATACATACTGTTTCAAAACTCGATGAAAAATCGTGAAAATCGACCGACGGGACGGGACCGATTCGTTACCGTTATTTTCAGATTCCGATCGCAGACCGTACGCTTGTTTGTTTACAACCAGAAAAATTTTAAAAAATTAAGAGGGCCATACCGGTTAATTTTTTTTTTTTCCTGCTAGTGGTTAGTAGTAATTTTTTCAGGAGCCCCCCCTGCCCCATCGAAATGATTCTACTCCGGATCCGCCGCTGGTCGCGCCACCCTCTGCGACAAAACTGCATGCGTTTCGCGCTGCAGATATTATCAAACCGCAGCGTGTTATGAACACGCGATACCTATCGTCGTCTATAACATGATACACGCGGCGATCACACTGCAATACGACAGTTATTAATACGTCGCGTATCGCACGGCGCTGAACTATTTCTTTTCTCTGAATATTATAATAATAATGATAATATCGTGTCGAACGTCGCACTTAAAATAGACACGCGCCCGTAAAGACCTAAATAATTACGCGCCGGACCACTGTGCCCGCGCGTGTTCGGCCCCGAGCGATCGACAACATTGCGGTATACTGTGCAGGCCGACGGTTTCCGAGTCGGCCGCACGCGTTCGAAACGATATTGCGTCGCGACGCGAGAATACGAATATTTTATTTTATTATTTTTTTCTTCCTCTCTCTATTGAAAGCTTCACCGGCCCGCGGGACAGGCGCACAATATTGCTGCGAGTGGATACGCAATATTAATAATTCGTATTTCGAGAGGTCGACCGGGTCAACGGTACGTGTACGTACACGACAACGGGCCGTGTGCGTGTGGCCGCGTCTACTCTCCGGACGGCGGCGCGTACTATTCCGAACGACGTTCGAAATTAACATTCCGGACCGATCGGATCGGACGAACGAACAATACGACGTCCGTAATATTGCTCGTATAACACGGAATACTGCTGGGCGTACACTGAAAATATTACATACGTTGGGTATTAATACGTCAGCGGCGTATTCGACCAAGTTTTATGGGAGGGGCGACACTAAAATTATTATACACGAGTTATGCACGCAAGCTCATAATATATTCTACCCTGTTTGTTATCTCACGACGAAGCGTTTTTATTTTCGTGTCCGACGACACTGTTCTAGCAATATTAAATTTTCGCATACATAGCAAATACCCGCACAAATTAATTGACGGGTGGGGACCCCCCCCCGGGTAATCGCCCACTCTCCTCCAATACGGCACTGTATTACGTCGGTTCTCGAGTGTACTAGCCGTCACTAAAAACGATTCGACTATATTCCCGGGGGGGGGGGAAGGGGGGAACTGCGCAGAGGCCTAATTTTTTTCACACTTTCCGTAGCGCGCAAGATGTTTGGTAGCTCACGCAAAAATAGCCCGTCGAAGTGACCGGGATTAGCGGTTTTAACCCCTACGTCGGCTCGGACAAAAGTCGTGTATTCGGTAATTTTATATTTTCGATAAATTACAAAACGATAAAACCCAGCTCGATTTATCGATGACAAATTTGCTCGTTTGGATCCGGCTTTTTTTAATACTCGCATCGGTGTCGGGTGGTACAATAAAAGAAAACCGTACCTGATAACCGCGGTTATCATCAATAATTACTACTCCCGGGAAAAATACCCCGAGCACGCCACTGTACGCGGGAGCGAACGGCGCCTCGTTATTTTATTGGTTAGTCGCGCGGTCCGTTAAGATGATTTGTTTTGTCCGTCGTAAAACCAGTTAGCCCCGGCGGGCACCCTCGGATTGGATTGGACTAACCACTCCCGGAGGGGGGGGGGTCGGATACGCCCCGACCGTGGCCGATCCCCGCGATAAAGACGCCGGCGGTCCGTCGTCGTCGTCGGCATTCGCGGATTTCGCAACTGCGTAGGTCGCCGCATAACAACATTAAACCGGTTGCGGTGATCTACATTTCGAGTTGTTAAGCGAGCTCGTACGAAAATTCGAGACGAAAACGAAATCGTCGGATGACCTTTTCGCAGCAGCAGCAGCAGCAGCAGCAGTAGCTGCCCCGCGCTGACGTCCGTGTAACCTTCAAACGGTGCGGGCGAAAAAAAAAAATAATAATAATACGCACGTAATAATAGTAATAATGTAGTAAAAACCGTCCGCGATTTCTTCCCGTGGCCCGCCGCGCGGTGACGCAATCGCCGGCGACGACGACGACAACGACGAGAACAACTTTCGGTCGATAGCTGCTGTTGGTGAAGCGCGCGCCGCCGCCGCCACCGCGGCACCGGTGACCTGTTTGGCGCGTTGATGAATGGTCGGCCGCGCGCGCTGTGTGTGTAGTACGGCGGCGGCGCCCGTGCGTGTGTCGGCGCGCCGCGGCGGGGCGCGCGGGTGACGGCGTTCGGACGGGCGGGGCGGCGGACGCTACCGCACGCGAACACTCACACATGCGCGTACGGCGAACAACGCGCGGCGCGCGCGCCCGTCGAACCATTATATCGTGGAAACCGTACTCGACGGCGTCGTAGTAGTCCCGATAGACGGCGGCTGACAGTCGGCAACCAAACCCCCTCGTGCGAGTTCGCGTCCGTCGTCCGCCCGGTAGTTTCGCATTTTTTTTGGCCCGCCGTCGTCGCGCGCGCATTGCGTGTGGAAGGGAGCGAGTGCGTCGACGCCGTCCGTCCGAGAAAACGTTTGAAATTTCATCATCGGTCCAGTTTCGTTACTTTTCCATTTGCCAGTCGGTTATTTCGCTCGGCCGCGTCCGCTCGTCACCGCCCGTTCTCTTTTCGCCGGTTCCGTGCGTTCGTTCGTTCGTGATAATAACCCGTCCACCGCCGCCGCGCCATGTGTATCGTGATACATCCGATCCTGCGCGCGCTGTACGGCCTGTTCACAGGAGCCGTGCCGTCGTTTACGTCGGCCGCCAAAGTCACCGTAAGTCACAGTTGCGTACGACTCGGAGCACGTTTCTTACGGCTTTTAATTATTACCATTATTTTTACGACACCCGACAGAATTGCAGTATACGAGCGGCGTCGTCTCGTCTCGGCGGAATGCCGCGCGCGAGGTGTTATCGTCGTCGCCGTCCACGCGCGATAATCGACGACGGCGGCGGTCACATGGCGCGTTAATATCGCCGGGGCAACGGCTCCGCGTGAAAATAATACTCGCGTCGTGGGTGGGGAACGCGCGGCGTGATTGTCTCCCGGAAACAGCCGACTGCGTCGGACGGACGTTTCTCTTTCTTTTTTGTTTTCCTCCCCGACGACGGACCGTAATCGTAAATGATCCAGAACAATAACAATGACTGAAAGTACCTCCCACTCCCCCCGACTTAGTACTACGACTAGTACAGCGATCCGAGGGGCTAGACACGTTAGCGTTTTCCTCCCCTTTACCGCGTGGGGGGGAGGGCACGACCCTTTTTTATTTTCTGTGTAAAACGTAACATTATATACATCGTTCTATTACTGGTAGGCGCATTTTGAACAATACAGTAAAATATAATGTAACTCCCGAGAATCTCTCGTTTTTCGTTTTTATTTTTTTTTCCATCGATTCTCCCCCCTCGTCCGTTATTAATTGTTACGAAAAAGGCTTTTTGGTGGTTTTTTTTTTCTCCGCTTTGTAAAACGTATTGTTACGGGTATCTAAAGAATAACCACCGTGATTCTATTTTATTTCTTATTTTTTTTTTACGTACGTCTTTTTCGGGAGAACAACAATATAATAATCGCCGATGGAAAGTCCGCGTCGATCGGTTAAAAATTTCCTATGTAAAAAAAAATATTGTTTAATAACATATTGGACAGGTATTTCTGTAGTACGTCGAAAAGTTTTAACGGTTTTTCGTTAATTTTTACGAGGTTCGCGCAATAATAATATTATTGCGCGTCGATCGCTTTCATGATTTACTACAAGAGTTGCTTATATTGTCGACGTTTTATTTTTGTTTATTTTATGATAAACGTTTCTTCCGGCGGTTCATACCAGATTCATACTGTGTTAAAAAAGGCTATTTTACATTTTTACGACGACCCTTGTAGTTTTGTCATATCGCCGTGTCAAACGTACTATTCGACACGCGGTTAATTCGGTTATCGGTTATAACTCACGTAGTTACACGATTACGATTTTTAAAACCGGTCTCACGGTTTAAAACATTATTTATGTTTAATACGTTTAAACATACGGTTACCGTCCAACACCACCTAATAGTATTCCGGTTTAATTCCCAAACCGAAGTACCCATTATCGAAATAATGTTTGTAATTTAAAAATATGATTTTTGTCGAACCCGCCGGTTTTTCGGCACTGTTGACATGGCCAATTCGTTATTAATTATTATTACCCGACATTTACGTTGATAAATTTGCCATATCAGTCAATTATGGTACCTAATAATAATTATATAGTATGAATTATGATTATGATTTAAATCGGAATCGATACATACGAACCATTCTATACTATAATATCATACCACATGAACATGTTTTGATAACCACGAACTGATTTTGAATTTTGAAGTTATATTCGAAAACAATTATAACATTATTGGTTTTTGCAATTCATTTTATCATTTACCCTGCGTCTATAATACGTATGTGAAAATCTAACGATATTTCCACTTAGTCGGATAATTGCCATTATAATTATTTTGACCGGGCAATCCTTATGAATTGTGAGTCCTAAAGCGAAATTTCAAATATTTTATTATAATGCAATTCGTATTTTTTTCGAACGTGAGGACCTAAACCTAAGTAAGCTCGAATCTTAGACCTGAGAGCTTTAGACCTGCCCCTCCTCCCACTAAATCGGCCCTTGACTGAGCAAATGTACAGTCATTAGAAGTATTAAATTTAAGCGATAGATAGTATAAAAAACGCTAAACAAAAAAAATTATGTGTATAGTTAGGATATTAACGATTTATACAATTTGTAAATTCTGTTTACAATTTTCCCATTTGACTCTAATTGTTTTTCATAAAATTGGATGTTATACATTTTAAAATAAACAATTTTTTTTGAAATCAAATATTTTGATTTTTTATAGATCAAAGAAGATTGTAGACCACTTCTTCTGTCCAATGAACAACTTACCACCTTAATGAATGATATGGATAAAGCTATCAGAAATGGTTTGGGCAAAGAAACCAACCCTAGCTCTATTGTCAAGTGCTTTGTCACTTATGTTCAAGATCTGCCCAACGGCACAGGTATGGCGCTAATCATTATTGTTCTATATTTGATATCATATTTGTATCTATGGTTTTTTTCTTTTTTTTAGAAAGAGGTAAATTCTTGGCTTTAGACTTAGGTGGCACAAATTTCCGTGTCTTACTGATTGAATTGGGAGAGAACAGCTATTTCCATATGGACTCTGAAATCTTCAAAGTGCCTGCTCATATCCAGACTGGCAAAGGCACAGAAGTAATTAAACAGTTTTTTATTAAATAATAATAATAACTCTCATTCTAAAATATTGCATAATTTTTACAGTTATTTGATCACATTGCTAAATGTCTGGCAGAATTTGTAAAAAAACACAACTTGGACAGTAAAAAGGCATTACCATTGGGCTTCACATTCAGTTTTCCGCTTAGGCAAGTAGGGTTAACCAAAGGATACTTAGAAAGTTGGACTAAAGGATTTAACTGCTCCGGAGTTGTTGATGAAGATGTTGTTAAGCTTCTCAAAGATGCCATCAAAAGGAGAAAGGTAAATAATAATGATAAGAGGCTTATTCCTAAATTTTCCCCGAAGTTTATTGTTAATGTTATACCCTGTGATAATACTAAAATGTGTTTCAATCCTAAATATCTGTTTAAAAAGAGTATAAACACATATAAGATCATAGAATTTTAATGTAGGGCCTGAATCTACGTTTAACAGCTGTATTGAATGATGCAACCGGAACTTTAATGAGTTGTGCCCACAAAACAATAAGTTATGCAAACAACTGTTTTATAGGTTTGATTGTTGGTAAGTTCGGTGAGGCCAAAATTTCCAAAAAGTAAAAAATATATATATAAAACCAGCAATATGCATTGGGTTTCTTGGTTCAACAAAAAACAAAACAATATTCATGTTTGACAACTGCTTTCTGATCTTATAAATGTATATAATATATTATATGGATATTTGTGTTTTGTGATGTCTTTACATATTCAGAGCATGAAATATGTATTGTCTTTGTACAAAAAAAAGTCTGTGATTGTCCAGTTTAAATGAGAACTATCAGTACAGACCACAGTTTCTCATTATTATAAACTATACCCGTTTAATTGCTATCTATCAATAAATTTTGCTTAAATTGCTGATGATTGTTTCTTATAATTTATATTATGTATACGTCCATATGTTGTATAATAAATAATATTTGTATTCCTGTGATTTATCAGAATATCCATTCCAATGTGCAACATATAATTACTATTCAAATTGATTTCTTCACAGTACAGTTCATTGAGTTGGCATATAGTGAAATTCTTTTTTTTTTTAACGTAAAAACCAAATTTTGTCCTTACCCCACTCTAAACTAAAAATTAAAAATAATTCATTACAAATTATAAAATTTTTTTTCACACATGTTACCCGAAGACCAAATATTGGTGATTACTTAAAGTACTTATAGATATAAAAATATTATGTCTCTATGAACATTACATAATAGAAGGTTTGTTTCCATGGTAATTTTTATTAGGATGTCGAAATTGATGTGTGTGGAATATTGAACGATACAACTGGTACCATCATGTCATGCGCATGGAAGAATCCAAACACCAAAATCGGACTTATTGTTGGTATGTTGTGTAAATAGACAATTTTAACGGGCTAGTCCCATTAACTCAATGAGTTTGTGTGAAGTGGTATATCACACAATTGGATTAACATTTGATATTAACTGTATACTTTTTAATATCATTTTCTTTCTAATTCTATCTATTAGAAATCTATTTAACAATTTTATTTTATTTCAATAATATTATAATTTTCTTCCATTCTTTTAATAATTATTAATATAATTGTGCTAAATAATACCTTACATTAATAACCAATAAGAAATAATAATAATAATTTGTTACCATTTTTCACAAGGTATAATAATATGTTTATTTTTAAGTGTGTGTAGTTTAAAATATCATATTTTTCTAGGTTAGTTATATTATATAATTTGTACTTTTTATTTTTATTTTCATTATTTAACTGTTAATTAGTTATTAGTTTGTTCATCAGACACCAGTTATTTCTATTGCTGATCTTCATAGTGAAACAAATGACCTCTTGTTAGTAGTAACGTAACTGTCATTGGCCAAAAGTCAAGTTTGAAATTGCATTATAAATAATATGAGAACAATATTATTTCTTTTTTTATCTGACATTTAAACACATTTAATTTGAATGATACAAAATTGAAAAATGCCTCTGAAAATTTTGCCACATAAATTATCAAAAAACTGTAACATATATTTGTAAATATTAATAAAAAAAAAAAACCTTATTCAAATTAATGTACATATTAAATAATCTACTGTTAAATGGAGAATATACTAGGTGAATTAATATTGCGCTGAAAATTAAAAAAATTTAATATTTCTACGTGTTATTTTTTTAATTTTTTATTGTTTTTTGACTTATTGACACTGCAGCTATTTTTACTGAATAACAGTATTATGTGATGAAACCATCTGTGTCTGTCATCGCTTTTGCTTTTTAATTATTAACTAACAAGTGATCGGCACCCAAGCGCCTAACGTTTTCAATTATTATTATTATTATATTGGAATAATTTGGATATGATCGCGTGCCTTGGGCGTCCGAAGCGTAAATTAAAAAAAGTGATATCACTACTGTTCTATAAAACAATATTAATTTATGTCCCTATACTATTTTTGAAGGAACGGGATGTAATGCTTGTTATGTTGAAAAAGTCGAAAACGCAGAACTGTTTGATGGTGACAAATCGAAACCACACGTGATTGTTAACACTGAATGGGGCGCGTTTGGAGATGACGGAACAATGGACTCCATACGTACAAAATACGACCGGGAAATCGACGAAAACTCATTGAACCCAGGTCAACAAAGGTTAGTTTTTTCTCACTCCCTCTTTTGAATCGTCAGTGTTTTGTATGGTAGTGGTTTTTAACATTGCGTGTTTACTATTTTCAGATTTGAGAAAATGATCAGCGGTATGTACATGGGCGAGATCGTGAGGTTGGCCATCGTAGATTTGGCAAACCAAAACAAACTGTTCGACGGAAGACTGTCTGAACAGATGAAAACATCTGGAGCTTTCGGTACGTCGTTCGTATCAGACATTGAAAGGTAATTCACAATTTATTATAGCCAATCAATTTCATGGGGTGGCTTAGTTATTAATCGCCTAACAAACAGAAGATAATATTTTACCTAGTGGATGGAGATTATGTCACGTATATTCATAGAACTCTGGTCCAAGGTCTTACCCCAGCATTTTTATTTATTGAAAATTATGAGCAAAAACTGCTCATTAAATCTGTATATTTAATATACATCAAATACTATTTAGTCATATTAAAATTCCTCCAAAAATACTGGCGTTGATTCAAAAACTATGTGTGTTCAAAAACAATAGTCCTCTCTTCATCCAAATGACTTTAGCACCCCCATTGAGGTTACATTGAAATTGTAACTGTATTTTTTTTTTTTATGTATAGTGATAAGGCCAACTATAGAGAGACATTGAAAGTACTTAACGAAATGGGTATCACCGATCCATCGCTGGTCGACTGTGCCAATGTACGATACATTTGTGAGTGTGTGTCTAAAAGATCAGCTCACTTGGTGTCTGCCGGTCTGGCCGCGCTACTCAACAAAATGGGAGAGAAAACTGTCACAATTGGCGTTGACGGTTCTGTTTACCGATTCCATCCCTACTTCCATAAGCTCATGGTCGAAAAAGTCAAACAGCTGGTCAGCCCCGAAATCAAAGTGAGTTAATAATCAATGTGTAACGTGCATTAATATCTTTCCTTTCCCCATGATTAATAATAATATTTCTATAAATGCCACCATTTAACTTTCAGTTCGACCTGATGTTGTCTGAAGATGGAAGTGGTCGTGGAGCAGCCCTCGTAGCTGCTGTAGCGGTCAGGGACGAACTACCATCGGCAACAAACGGATTCGTCACAAAATAATATATTAGCGGCAGTCCACTAGTGAGTCAATGTTACCAAAAAATGCTCGAAGTACATAAAACATTATTTTTAGCATTATTTGATTTGAATTTTTTTTTTTTTTAAAGAAAAAAACCTTTGGTGCTAACGCTAAGTGTCCCTTAGGCATATTTACACTTTACAACGAGAGTATTGTTTGTTTTAGAGTGTTGTCATTGTTGTTGAGTATTAAATCCTGATTGTTCATTGTTAAATATGTTTTCTTTTAGATTTTAGATCATAATACATTTATATTTAAATCAAATCGGCACTAAACGTATCCATCATTATATTTTATACCAATTATTATAATATATTATGTATTTGTATTATGTATGGAAATGAAAAAAAAACAAAATATCTATATTTTAGTTTTATATATAAATATGTGTTATTGATTTATAAATACTGGGTATTATATATCTATGACAATAATAGTGATAAAGCCCAATGTATGCCTAATTTATTATTATTATTATTATTATTATTATTATTATTTTTATTATTATATAAACATATTATGTACGTGTATGTCTAGTTTTGAATCGACCATCGATTAAATTTTTACCATTATCATTGCTGTCGAGCTCGAAATTAGTTTGATCATTAATATTGATGTTTTTTAAAAATATTTATTTCTTTTATATTATTAAACATTTTGATATCCACAGTTTTAGCTACGAACAGTACCTGAATACAAATTTTATTGTAGGATTATATATATACATATATATATATTTATTTTTTTTTAACCAGAAAACAAAATTATACTATTTTTTCTTTTTGGAGAACTGTTGTCATGTAATTTGTACTTAAGGTTATATTAGTAAAACACTAATTTATGAATAAATTATGTCATATAGATAATATATACTACTATAACATTATATACACGTTGATTAAAATCTAAAAGCTTCGGTTGATTAGTTTTGTACTTAACTGGTACACTTATTGTAATATATTATAATACCTATACAAACTCGTAAATATTTTATTGTTGAAATTTAAAAAAAAGATTTTATTTCAAAATAAAAAAACTGATATCAAAAGTATAAGCTTTGTGTATTTATTTATTTTTCTTTGAATCCAACCTCACTGATTTTGTACATAAAACAATTTAGATTATTATTTCAAACCAAGGACATAGCTCTCAAAGATTAATTACTTCATAGAATATGTCATTAGTTCATAATCATAGTTTACATTATGATTAGTCTGATTGGCTGACTAGTCTAGTTGATCCATTTGTCAGCGGTCATAAAGAAGGGATAGATGTCCTCATAAAGAGTCAGTCATTTTTTTTTTTAACCTTACCATATGATTATTATGATGATATAGTTATTGCGTACTTATTCATTGACAATCTGTCAATAGGGTTAAACAAATTAGATTTAGTGTTTAATTGATATTATTTATTCAACTAAAATATAGAAATAATAATGCACATAGATATGATTTGAAATCATTAAGCTGGGTACTATATTGTATTTTTATGTACAATTGTTCTTACTAATTTAAATTCTAATTTTCTTTATAAATTTAATGCACATTATAACAATTACTTGTGCACAATGCACACAATAATAATAATACTGTTGTTAGTATATATCTGACGTTGGCACGGTCACAAAATCGTGCGCCACAATGAACCAATGACGTATGCAAGCAAAAAGGTTTCTGTTTATTCCCCCCCCCCTCCATTGGCTTAAAAATATAACAACTATGAGTGTCTGTCACGGTTATCTGCGTAGATTCACTAACTTATACATAACTGTGATAGGTATTTATTTTGTAATTAAATCTTAAAATGTACATTCTATCAAGAAAAGTCAGAAAAAGCTTGACAGGTATATGAAATAAAAACTGGCTTAATTATATCCGGATTTTAACCAATTCCTATGGTCAAGTTAAATCTAATAAGAATAGAACAAGAGATTATATGTAATTTATTCATGATTATTATTATTGCTACATCCTATCCCATTGAAAATTCCTGGGCGTACCACTGTGACGAATATTATTACGCCGGTTATTTTCAGGAACAAATTTTTTCGAAAAAAATAATAATTATATTCCTATTGTTTATGATTCGATAGGTAAGTATCAGATTTACCATATTTGTTCACACAGTTCATAAAATCGGAAAATCGCCAGCAATTCAATTAACTGGATTGTTGATCAATACAACATTTTCGTTGGAAAACATTATCGAATCCGCTGACGAAAATTGTTTTATTTAAATGAATTGTAATGAGAATTACAATTGCCAGCCAGAAAGCGTATCGATTTCTTTCTTAGAAAAAACAATATGATAGAAAAAAAACACACCACTAATGATGCGCTTCTCCGATTAACGATTTTTTTTTTTTATGTTTATATTGAAATATCATGTAATATTTCAATACTATATTATTTATTATGTAAATTTTTCATTCCCTGAACACCGCCAGTTAAAATATAAATAATAAAATAAAATTACTATAAACTTGATAAAATGTTTGTTATAATATAACCTCCACATCGTCCTTTATGTTATCATCATCGTTTCGCGATATAAGCGAAAAATTACCGATTATATTATTTTTTTATAATTGATTTATCATTTTCTTACATTTATATAAAAAAAAATTATAAAATTTTATAATTTTACAACTACGAAATAAATTATAATATCTACCCAATTATTAATGTTGGTTCGTTTCAATTAATGTCTAAGTAATTTTATGGAACCGAAAAAGCTCTATCAACATAAATCGGAAAATAATACGCAAGTATAGTCGTGATTTATACAATTCTGATCAAATCGAGACTACAGATTTTCGATACCTATTTGTTTTTTAGAACAACTATTACGACGACGAACCTTTTGTATCAGATTGTCGAACATTTTTGAGAATCTGAAAAACTGTATCCGCACAAACCAAATAAAAACGAAAGTATACTTCAGAGGCGTCATTTTGGTTTCATAGAAGGGGTGAAACAATATTTATGAGACTGTCGTCTTCTCCTCTTTGCCAGGCACCAGGTCAATTGTTGTCAAACGAAATTGTTTTAACGTAATATGCGATAGACAAAATTTCAAAAAAATAAAAAAATATGGAATACTTAAGCCAAAATATCACGCCATTCATGTTGGCCAAAGTAGCTGGTATCAGTCAACACCTACCTATAGGCCAATTTTAAATAAAAATAAATTACAAGGGACCCTATTCCTTCCCTAATTGTACCCGTAGAAAAAGTAGGTAAATAATTGTTTACACTTGTATTTTCGAGACGTCTATTTTCGTTTCTAATTTATTGTACGGAATCCGTTTTTTTAGGCCATGGGTACGATTCGTTCTCCCTAAACACACCCGCACTCTTCACTCTTCACGCGCAGTACCCTCTAAATACCCATTATTACAATGTATAGTCATTTATCTGGCTGCATCCGAGTTGGGTCCCTAGCGGTTTCGATTAGTATCACACTAATTGAGGGACCCAATGAATTTTTGGTAAATACACTATAAATACACTAGTTGGGTCCGAACGTTTAAAAGCAATACAAAACATTTTCGTTATCATTTTTACAGACTTGGGACTTAGCATCTCATTTGTTCAGTGATTTTTTTCTATCGTTTTAATCCTTTGTACGTTTTTTTCTTTTTGTAAAATATGAAAATATGGTTTTTTTCTCGACTTCTCATTTAATGTATCTATCTATTTGAGTATTTATTCAAACGTCTAAAAACTGGTGGATGTAATTATTAGGATGGATGTGGTGTTTTATTTTATTCTAAACTATTATAATTACTATCAATTTTACTGTAGGTATTGGACGGCTATAGTGATACGACCCATATGAGACCCAACTAGTACACTACACCCGGAATCTAAATACTAGTAAATAGTGTTGATCGTTTATCGCAGTACGCAATTCAGATTAACTGATTTATCTATGTATAGATACAAACAATACGGCTCTTTGTAAGCCGTTTTAACCATACAAATCGAATTTTATTGTTTCGACACGATAAATTATGCGTCCGTACAATGCTTCCCCGGAAAAATAATGGGGAACACCACCGAGCGCCATATATTCTGTACTGCGTTCTTATTATCCTCATGGACGCGTGCAAGAGCACTTTCACCAAGTACTTTAAATCTATATCTTATTTAAAGCTCAGCCGATTAATAGTCCGTACGGATTATGTTGTCGGGTTTGAATATCATATTACAGACATAAACCGGACAGTAGAAACGTGTTGGAAAATGTTTTTTCTGTGTACAGAAACATTTCTAAACATAGTAGGATTTCCAACACATTAAAGCATAGAAATTAATATTTATTCGGTAAATAGGGACTGGTCAACAAGACAAATAACTTGAGTTTAATGCAGTAATTTATTTTTGTAAGAATTTTAATAGGAATCAAACTTTGACGAATATCGTAAATATTAAGGCCATTTAAAACATGTATAACCGAACTTCACTTAAAATTGTTTTTCGTAAGCAATAATTAATCGTTGCATACAAAAATATATTAAATTCCCCTTTTTATCCTACCTTCCCAATTTTTTACTTATAACAGTAGTCATCGTAGAATGTACGATTTTTTTTTAAAAGAAAGGCCATTTTTGTACCATTTTTAATCTAGTTGGTGAATAACAGGTCGTTTTCTGTAGTTTTATTAATAATTAGGAAAAACCGAAAAAACGTGAAATGAAATCTGACAAATTTACAGCTTTTCTATTTTTTAATTTTAAATTTTGTCCTTTCAATGCAATTCAGTTAATATTCGAAGTGTATTATTTTTTGTTTGCCTAAACGATTAATATTTATTATCTATATAAAAACAGAAACAAAGGTAAATGACCCGATATAAATCGTGTAATTAATCGCGAAGTCTAGTTTCGACGACATTTTAAAAAATTGTATTTTATAGTAACTGAAGAAACATGCAGACACTGAAATGCCGGACTCCTATTCGCGTTTCGACCGACCGCCCCGCTGCAAAACGATACGCTCATGAACTCCTGGTACAAGACTGCACCAAAAATCCTGTATCCCGTGTTGTCCATCACTATGGACGAACGATAACATAAAAACCTTAACCTTAAAAGTTTACCAGCTGTTAAATTATTTGATGGTTATATTATCCTATCTTCAATCTTTACGAATTTTATAACTGTATAATATAACTATCGATTTGTTAGTGTTTTGTATAGCATCGTTATTTTATTCAGTCGTTCAACAATCGCCACTTCAAAAAATAATATAACATTCTGTTTGTTATTCACCATAGACTTGATGATATTTTTTCAGGCTATGGTATATACCATGCAAGACCACTTTGGTTAAACAGAGAAATTAAAAACTTGCTCTAATTTTGCCGTGTACCACTTTTTCAAAAGTAATTTTCCTAGAGTACAACTTTTAAAAGATCAATTTTTGATTTTTTAAGCGTTTTCAAATAATTATGAAATTATTTTTAATTTTGTTGTAATTAACTAACTACGAACATTTGAAGTTTGTCAGAAAAACTTATATTTGACTTTTCTAAACATGGTAAGATTTTTAATACATTAGAGCATAGTATTTAATATTTTTTCGGTAAATAGGTCAACAATCAAATAATTTAGCAATAATTAATCGTTGCATATATTAAATTCTCCTTTATCTCCTACCTTCCCAACTTTTTACTTACAAAAGTAATCATAGTACAATTTACGATTTTTTAAAAAGAAAAAATGAATGGTTTTTTTCCTTTTAATCTAGTTGATGAATAACTGGTCGTTTTCTATAATTCTATAAATAATTACGAAAAACCGAAAAAAAAAGAAATGAAAACTGACAAATTTACAAATTCGATTTCATTATTTTAAATTTTGTCTTTTCAATGAAATTTAGTTAATAGAGTAATAAAGAGTGTTATTTTTTTTTTTTTTGTCTAAACGATTAATATTTATTTTCTATATAAAAACAGAAACAAAGGCAAACAATCCGATATAAATCGTGTTAATTGATCGTCAGGTGTCGACTACATTTTAAAAAATTGTATTTTATAGTAACTGCAGACATGAACAGACTGAAAACACGGAAACGAACACCACTGTAACAAAACCCACAATTGATACCAGGAGGCCAAGAGATGGTGAGACTTTTTTTTACGGCGGGTAGTCTTCGAAGTGCCGGACTCCTATCGTATTTCGACCGACCGTCACCGCTGCTAAACGACTATGTTCATGAGACCCTGGTACAAGACTGCACCAAAAGTCCCGTATCCCGTGTTGTCCATCGGCTATGGCTGAACTATAACATAAAAACCATAACCTCAAAAGTTTATCAGCTGTTAAATTATTTGATGATTATATTATCAGATCTTCATTCGTTACGAATATTATACCTACATAATATTACTAAAGATTTAAACGGCACGGTAATTTTATTATTCGTTGGGAGTTAGTGTTTTGAATAGCATCATTTTTTTATTCGGGTTATCAACAATCTCTATATAATAAAAAATACAATGTTCTGTTTGGTATTCACCATAGACATGATATGTCTACGGTATTTACCATTCAAAACCACTTTGGTTAAATAGACACAAAAAAAACTTACTCTAATTTTGCTGTGTAGCACTTTTTCGGAAATTTTCCTAGGGTAATACTTTTTTAAGGTCAATTTTTAATTTATTGAATGTTTTTAAAATAATTGTTAAAAAAATAAAAAAAAAATTAGGATGAACGAAAAAATCTAAAAAATGTATTATTTTCAATTTTGATTTTTGTTGTAATTAACTAAAAACTGTTCGTAGAGATTTGAAATTGGTCAGAGAAACTTATATTTGGTTTTTCTAATCATAGTATGATTTTTAACACATTAAAGCATAGTATTTAATATTTATTCGGTAAATAGGGACTGGTAAACAAGACAAATAATTTGAGTTTAAAGCAGTAATTTATTTTTGTAAGAATTTTAATAGGAATCAGACTTTGACGAATACCGTAAATATTAAGGTCATTTAAAACATGTATAACCGAACTTCCCTTAGAATCGTTTTTCATCAGCAATAATTAATCATTGCATACAAAATACATATTAAATTCTCCTTTATATCCTTTATATAACTTCTCCCAACTTCTTACTTACAGAAGTAGCCATCGTACAATTTACGTTAGTCTTATTTTTTGGTAGTAATTATTTTGAAAGATTCGCCACTGGCCACTAGGCAGGTAATTTTGGACTTTTGATAAATTGAAAATTGATTAACACAATAATATTCAATTAAAATTTTTTTAAATAATTATACTAATAACTTTATTGTACCTAATTTTGATGACACGTTGACATGCAGACACTGAAACAAAATCCACTGTAACATAATACACGGTTGGCACCAGGAGGGCAGGAGATGATGAGGATATTTTTTACGACAGATAGAAAACAAACTGTCGGACTCCTATCACGTTTCGACCGACCGTCTCCGCTGCGAAACGACTATGTTCATAAGCCCCTGGTACAAGACTGCACCAAAAATCCCATATCCCGTGTTGTCCAACACTATGGCTGATCGATAACATAAAACCTTAACCTCAAAATTTTACTATCTGTTAAATTATTTGATGATTATATTATCCGTTATGGATTTTATGCTTGCCTAATATTACTATAGGTTTGAATGGCATGGTAATTTTATTATTCCGGCATATCATATTAAAAATAATACAATGTTCTCTTTGGTATTCACCATAGACATGATATGACTACAGTATTTACTATTCAAAACCACTTTGGTTGAAACACAAACAAGACTTGCTCTAATTTTGCAGTGTAGCACTTTTTCGGAAAGGAAATTTACCTAGGGTGGTATTTTAAAAGATTAATTTTTGATTTATAAAACACTTTCAAAATAATTGTAAAATTATTTTCAATTTTGTTTTTTGTTGTAATTTACAATAAATAATAATAATAATTATTGTACTAGTAATTGTATTGTACGTAAAATAATGTACACATTTTTTTTTTACTAAACGATCCTATTTAGATCGGATTAATTAATCGTCAAGTTTTGACAACATTTTATAAACATTTTATTTTATAGTAACTACAAACGCTGAAACAAAACCCACTGTAAAAAAACCCACGATTGATACCAGGAGGACAGGAAATAATGAGGATATTTTTTACGACAGAAAGAAGACAAACTGCCTGAATCCTATCGCGTTTCGACTAACCTTCTCCGCTGTAAAACAAATATGTTCATGAACCCCTGGTACAAGACTGCACCAAAAATCTCGTATCCCGTGTTGTCCATCACTATGGTTGAACGATAACATAGAAACCTTAACCTCAAAAGTTACCAGCTGTTAAATCATTTGATGATTACATTATCCAATATTTAAAAGTTACGGTTTTGAACCGGATTTCTATTATTATTGATTTGTTAGTGTTTTGAATAATATCGTTATACTATTCATGAGTTCCTCAATCGCCATATCAAATATAATAAAATATCATGTTTGGTATTTACCATTCTTAACCGCTTTTGTTGAAAAGATTACGCGTCACGAAAGTCGTTGGGCGGTGCCCACGTTCGGACCGACAACCCCGGTGAAAAACCACTATGTTCATGAACTCCTGGTACAAGACTGCACCAAAAATCCCGTATCCCTTGTTGTCCAACACTGAACGATAACATAAAACCTTAACCTCGAAAAAGTTTACCAGCTTTTAAATTATTTGATGGTTATATTATTGAATCGTAAGGAATTTTGTTACTGCATAATATAACTATCGATTTGTTAGTGTTTTGTATAGCATCGTTATTTTTTTCGGGGTTCAACAATCGCCATATTAAAAAAAAATATAATATTCTATTTGATATTTTCCAACCTAACATAACCTAACCATTCAAAACCTCTTTAGTTGAACAGTTTACATGAGGTCGTTTGGCGGTGCCTCCGAATAGTCCGTTGTTTAAGAAATTGCGTTTTTTTCTTCTGTGTACAAAAATTCTATTGGCAATTTTGGTCCAGCATTTTTTCTGAAATTAAACTATCCTGAGATGGTACATTTGAAAGGTCATTTTTTGATTTTTCGAAATTATTGGGAAAGACCGAGTAAATTTATTATTAAATTATTTTCATTTTTGTTTTTTTGTAGCAATTTAGTTCAAAATGTTCATAGAGATTTGAAATATTCATAGAAAACTTGTCTTTTTAGTTATTCTAAACCTGGTCAAATTTTGAAAACATTTGAATCATTTTTGAGCTATGAGATTTTAAATTTTTAGTAACTGCAGACGCTGAAACAAAAACTGTAACAAAACCCACGGTTGGCACCAGGAGGCCAGGAGACGATGAGGATATTTTTTTACGGCAGGTAGTTCTTGAATGCCGGACTCCTACCGCGTTNACAAGACTGCACCAAAAATCCCGTATCCCGTGTTGTCCATCGGCTATGGCTGAACGATAACATAAAAACCTTAACCTCAAAAGTTTACTATCTGTTAAATTATTTGATGATTGTATTATCAGATCTTCAATCGTTACAAATATTATACCTACATAATATTACTAAAGATTTAAACGGCACGGTAATTTTATTATTCATTGGGTGTAGGTGTTTTGATTAGCATCGATATTATATTCGGGCATTCAACAATAGCCATATTAAAAATAATATAACGTTAATTCACGTATAATTCACCATAGACTTGGTATGTTTACGGTATTTACCATTCAAAACCACTTTGGTTGAACAAACACAAACTAAACTTCCTCTAATTTTGCAGTGTAGCACTTTTTCGAAAAGGAAATTTTCCTAGGGTGGTACTTATAAAAGATTGATTTTTGATTTATTTAGGGTTTTCAAAATTATTGTGAAAAAATCTAAAAAATGTATTATTTTTAATTTTGGTTTTTTGTTGTAATTTAGTATAACTTTTATTCGACTTTTCTAAATGTGGTATGATTTTTAACACATCAAAGCATAGTATTTAATGTTTATTCGGTTAGTAGGGACTGGTCAACAAGACAAATAATTTGAGTTCAATGCAGTAATTTATTTTTGTAAGAATTTTAATAGGTATCATATTTTGACGATAATAGTAAATATTACGGCCTTTTAAAACATGTATTACCGAACTTTACTTAGGATCCTTTTTCGTTAGCAATAATTAATCATTGCATACAAAAATATATTAAATTCTCCATTATATCCTACCTTCCCATCTTCTTACTTATAACGGTTACCATCATACAATTTACGTCAGTCTTTTTTTTTTCGGTAGTTATTATTTTGATAGAGTCGCCACTGGCCTATAGGTAAGTAATTTTATTGGATTTTTGATACATTGGATATTTATTAACTAAGTTATATTTAATTTAATTTTTTTTAAATAATTATAATAATAATAATAACTTTATTGTATCTAAGTACAAGTACACGTTTTTTTTAAACTAAACGATAAACATTTATTTTCTACTAAAAGAAAAAAAAGGTAAACGATCCTATTTAAATCGGGTAAATTCATCGTTAAATTAGGTTTCGAAAATATTATAAAAATTTAATTTTATAGTAACTGCAGACAAAGAAACAAAAACCACTGTAACACAATCTACGATTGGTACCAGGAAGACAGAATATTATGATATTTTATTGATTATTATTATGATGATACTTTTTACAGAAGGTAGTCTTCGAAATACCAAAGTCGTATCGCGTTACAACTAACCGTCCCCGCTTCAAATCGACTGTGTTCATGAATCCCTGGTACAATATAGCACCAAAAATCCAGTTTTGTCCTACACTATGGGTGAACGATAACATAAAAACCTTAACCTCAAAAGTTTACCAGCTGTTAAATTATTTGATGGTTACATTATTCAATCTTTAAACCAAAGAGTAACATAGAGAGGGTAATGTCAAAGATCAGTGTGGCGAAAAGTGACTAGATGGGGTCAGTTCTTCCAAAAAATGATAATGTATGCTAATAAATAAATGACATAGCCTTTTAAATATCTGTGTTGCTAACAGTGTTTTTACCAAAAATGCGACAAGAGAAATTTTGTATTTTAATACCAAAAACATTGTTTTTAGTTAAGTTCTTATCTTTATAGCAAATTTTAGTTTGATTTTTATCATTTCTTTTATTAAGTAGGTTCATGGCATTTACCTTGTATTTTTATTGAATTTCTTAAACAGTTACGTGAGAAATTCCAGATGTTAGGATACCTTCCAGATTATTTTTTGAGCTGATTATGAAAAATCCAAATAGTTGTTGGTCTGAACTTCAGATCCAAAAACTCTAATAAATTGTGAGCTGACCTGGACAATCTATTAGTTTTAAATGTATCTATTAACAGTAAAAGGTAATAACACAATAATAATATCATTTGTAAATTAATCGTTTTAGAGAATGTGGAAACATTCAATGCCATACACAATCAAAAATGTCTCCATTTGGTATTAGATGTCTGAAAAGTCTTGTGTGTATTCCAAAATCCGCTGGTTCCATTGAAAATTGAGGACAATTTATCTTTCCTCTTATAGCTAGTAAATTAAGTAATACTAAAATCAAAAACATTATTATTGTAAATAAAAGTGATTTATGGTACCTAATTTAAATTATTAATAGTTAAATAGGTACTTTTTAGTTAGACATCTATTTAACACTTGTCCAGCGACCAGTTAAATAGCTTTGGTCTCTATTTTGGTTACCAAATTATTGATGTTTTACTTTTATGAGAGCTTTTCTACTTGCTGTCTGATACTGTTTAGATGATAAATGATGGCTGTGTTGTAGTTATCTACTTTCACTGAACTTACCTTATTATTAGATTGTAAAACTGGTGCCTCAATATGAATGGAAAAACAATATGAAAATACCCTAACAAAAATTTAAATACCAAACTGTAAACTTGAAATTGTTATTTCAATACAATTTATTTAATTTTCCTTTATGACTTATTTAATAAATATAATTAAATATACAAAAAATAATAATGTATAAATTTATTTAATTTTAGGAATTATACAAAAAGATGGTAATTTAATGTTGAAGCAAAATACATATCAAATTAACATTCTTGTTTTGGTAATAAACAGTATTTTTAAAATAAAACGTTGCAACTATGTGATGTGTTATATATATAAATATTTGCTGTTACAATTTAAATAATACTTTTACAGAAAATTTGATATTTGAATTTATTTCAAAATAGTTAAAATTTCAATTAGAAATTATAATTGTTTAAGTAAAAGTTGATGGTCTCTCCAGTAAACATCAATTATACTGCCAAGGTACGTCTTCATCTTCTGATATAAAATAGTAAATTATTTTCTGCCTTTTTCTGCAGTTACATTACAATTTGTTGGTTCATTTATACCAATAACCATGAACTTGATTGTTGGCATTCCTTCTTCTCTCTAAGTTCCTGGAATTATCTCTTTATCTGCTGTTTCTTAATCTAAGCTACTATTAGGAGTATATAATTACTTTGTGCCTTTCTTACTGTCATCAACTGCCCCACACATTTATTCCATATTTCCATAATTTTTGTAAATTTTGGAACCTAATATAACATAAATAAGACAATTAATTAATTTATATATTTATTTACAAGTAATGACAATTTATTAATTTTGTTTTTACTTTGTTATTTCATTAAAATTTTAGTTATAAAATAATAATAATTAAAATATGTTTCCTATATTAACTGAGAATAATTAATTTAAACTAATTATGGAATTTACATAAAATATATTTTTGTGTTTATTTATAATTACAATTAGTTCAAATTAATTCTAAAAGAAATAAAGATAATAGTGATCCATTACTAAATGACACATCCAACACTATTGATAAAAAAATAATAATAATATTTAAGTATTATTCAGTTCTACGTTTTTTTTAAGATAAATATTAATGTTTGATAGTGTGCAGGAAATCGTCATGTCTGGTTTCGACAACATTACAAAAATTGTATTTTATAGTAACTGCAGCCACATGCAGACACTGAAACAAAAACCACTGTAACAAAACCCATGATTGATACCAGGAGGACAGGAAATAATGAGGATATTTTTTACGACAGAAAGAAGACAAACTGCCTGAATCCTATCGCGTTTCGACTAACCATCTCCGCTGTAAAACAAATATGTTCATGAACCCCTGGTACAAGACTNCACCAAAAATCCCGTATCCCGTGTTGTCCATCGGCTATGGCTGAACGATAACATAAAAACCTTAACCTCAAAAGTTTACCAGCTGTTAAATATATTCTGTTTGGTATTTACCATTTAAAACCACATTGGTTGAATTTGCGTCACGCGTCGTAATATCGGTGGACGGTGCCTCCGGTAGGTTAATTGTTAAAGATGATAAATAGGAAACCGAAAGATAGATTACCAATACCCATGAGAATTTTAATTGGTATCAAATTTTGACGAACATCATAAATATCACAGCCTTTTTAAACATGTTAAACTGAACTTCGCTTAGAATCGTTTTTCGTTAGCAATGATTAATCGTTGTGAACATTATATTCTTATCTTTACCCCACCTTTCGAATTTCTAACTTTAAACAGTGTCCAACCAATCGTGAAAAGTATATCAATCTATATTTTAGTAGTTTTAATTTTTTTAGTAAGGTTCGCCACTGGCATAAAGGTAGGTAATTTTATGGATATTAAAAATTGATTAATACAATAATATTCAATTTAATTTTTTTTTAAATAATTTTAATAATAATAATTTTTTTGTACCCAATTTAAGTACACATTTTTTTTTTAACTAAACGATTAACATTCATGTTCTATTAGAAGAAAAAAAAGTAAACAATCCTATTGAAATCGGGTTAAATCGTTAAGTCAGTTTCGACAACATTTAAAAAAATTATATTTTATAGTCCTGCATTTTATTTTATACACTTGCAGACACTGAAACAAAAACTGTAACAATACAAACGATTGATACCAGGAGGGCAGACGATGAGGATATTTTTTACGACGGGTAGTCTTCGAAATGCCAGACTCCTATCACGTTTCGACCGCCCGTCCCGCTGCAAAACGACTATTTTCATGAGCCCCTGGTACAAGACTGCACCAAAAATCCTGTATCCGGTATTTTCCATCTCTATGGACGAACGATAACGTAAAAACCATAACCTCAAAAGTTTATCAGCTGTTAAATTATTTGATGGTTATATTATCCGATCTTCCATAAGTATGTATTTTATGCCTGCCTAATATTACTAGAGATTTGTTAGAGTTTTGAATAGCATCGTTATTTTATTCAGGCGTTCAACAATCGCCACTTCAAAAAATAATATAATATTCTGTTTATTATTCACCATAGACTTGATGATATTATTCAGGTCTATGGTATTTACCATTCAAAACCACTTTGGTTAAACTGAGAAACTAAAAATTGTCTCTAATTTTGCAGTGTAGCACTTTTTCAAAAGAAATTTTCCTAGGGTAATACTTTTTAAAGATCAATTTTTGATTTATTGAGCGTTTTCAAAATAATTGTGAAATTATTTTTAATTTTTTTTTCTGTTGTAATTTATTAAAAAATGTTCGTAGATATTTGAAATTGGTCAGAAAAACTTATATTTGTCTTTTCTAAACATGGTATGATTTTTAACACATTAAAGCATAGTAATTAATATTTATTCGGTAAAAAGGGACTGGTCAACAAAACAAATAATTTGAGTTCAATGCAGTAATTTATTTTTGTAAGAATTTTAATAGGTATCAAATTTTGACGAAAATCGTAAATATTACGGTCATTTAAAACATGTTTAACCGAACTTCGCTTAGAATTATTTTTCGTTAGCAATAATTAATCGTTGCATACAAAATACATATTAAATTCTCTTTTATACACTACGTCCCCAACTTTTTACTTACAATAGTAGTCATCGTACAATTTACGATTTAAAAAAAAAAAATAAAAAAATAAACGGTTTTGTTCCATTTTTAATCTAGTTGATGAATAACAGGTCGTTTTCTGTAGTTTTATAAATAATTACGAAAAACCGAAAAAACTTGAAATGAAATCTGACAAATTTACAGCTTTTCTATATTATATATATATTCTATTTTATAATTTTAAATTTTGTCCTTTCAATGCAATTCAGTTAATATTCGAAGTGTATTATTTTTTGTTTGTCTAAACGATTAATATTTATTATCCATATAAAAACAGAAATAAAGGTAAATGACCCGATATAAATCGTGTAATTGATCGTCAAGTCTAGTTTCGACGACAATTTAAAAAATTGTATTTATAGTATAGTATAAAGTATATAGTATATAGTATATATATATATATATATATATAGTATATAGTATAGTAACTGCAGCCACATGCACACACTGAAACAAAAACCACTGTAACATAACCCACGGTTGGCACCAGGAGGCCAGGAGACGATGAGGATATTTTTTTACGGCAGGTAGTTCTTGAATGCCGGACTCCTACCGCGTTTCGACCGACCGTCTCCGCTGCAATACGACTATGTTCATGAGCCCCTGGTACAAGACTGCACCAAAAATCCCGTATCCCGTGTTGTCCATCGGCTATGGCTGAACTAAAACATAAAAACCATAACCTCAAAAGTTTACTATCTGTTAAATTATTTGATGATTGTATTATCAGATCTGCAATCGTTACGAATATAATACCCACATAATATTACTAAAGATTTAAATGGCATGATAATTTTATTATTCGTTGGCTGTTTTGAATAGCATCGTTATTTTATTAGGGCGTTTAACAATCGCTATATTAAAAATAATACAATGTTCTATTTGGTATTCACCATAGACATGATATGTCTACGGTATTTACCATTCAAAACCACTTTGGTTGAATTAACACAAACTAAACTTCCTCTAATTTTGCAGCGTAGCACTTTATCGGAAAGGAAATTTTCCTAGGGTAATACTTTTTAAAGATTAATTTTTGATTTATTGAGCGTTTTCAAAATAATTGTGAAATTATTTTTAATTTTTTTTTTCTGTTGTAATTTACTAAAAAACGTTCGTAGATATTTGAAATTGGTCAGAAAAACTTATATTTGTCTTTTCTAAACATGGTATGATTTTTATCACATCAAGGCATAGTATTTAATATTTATTCGGTTAGTAGGGACTGGTTAACAAGACAAATAATTTGAGTTCAATGCAGTAATTTATTTTTGTAAGAATTTTAATAGGTATCATATTTTGACGATAATAGTAAATATTACGGCCTTTTAAAACAAGNTTAAATTCTCCATTATATCCTACCTTCCCATCTTCTTACTTATAACAGTTATCATCATACATCATCAAACAATTTACGTCGGTCTTTTTTTCGGTAGTAATTATTTTGATAGAGCCGCCACTAGCATATAGGTAGTTCATTTAATTGGATTTTTGATAAATGAAAATTTAATAACCCAGTAATATTTTATTTAATTTTTTTTAAATAATTACAATAATAACTATATTGTACCTAATTTTGATAACATGTAGACATGAAACAAAATCCACTGTAACTTAACCCACGGTTGGCACCAGGAGGCCAGGAGACGATGAGGATATTTTTTACGGCGGACTCCTATCGCGTTTCGACCGACCGTCCCCGCTGCAAAACTACTATACTCATGAGCCCCTGGTACAAGACTGCACCAAAAATCCTGTATTCCGTGTTGTCCATCACTATGGACGAACGATAACATAAAAACCTTAACCTCAAAAGTTTACTATCTGAACAATTATTTGTTGTTATACTATCGGATCTTTGATCGTTACGAATTTTATTACTGTATAATATTATTATAGATTTGTTAGTGTTTTGTACAACATTCAAAACCTCTTTAGTTGAACAGTTTACATGTCATGAGGTCGTTTGGCGGTGTCTCCGAATAGTCCGTTGTTTGAAGAATTGCGTTTTTTTCTGCTGTGTACAAAAATTCTATTGGCAATTTTTGTCCAGCATTTTTTCTGAAAGAAAACTATCCTGAGATGGTACTTTCAAAAGGTCATTTTTTGATTTTTCGAAATTATTGGAAAAGACCGGGTATAAACATATGAAAACCGGGTAAATTTATTATTAAATTATTTTCATTTTTGTTTTTCGTTGCAATTTAGTTCAAAATGTTCATAGAGATTTGAAATATTCATAGAAAACTTTTCTTTTTGGTTTTTCTAGAACTGGTCAAATTTTTGAAAACAATTGAATCATTTTTGAGCTATATATAGATATTTTAATTTTTGTTTTTGAAATTTTGAGTTTTTTTACGCTATATTTATTCGGTAGGTATTTAGTGGATAAATTTATTAGACTAAACAGAAATGCTTGAAAATTTAACAGAAGATTTAATATAAATTTTACTTATTGGTCAACAAGAAAAATTTAAATATAATGTAATTTTTTTTGATAAGACATTTATTAAAAATTTTTTATGAAAACCGTAAATATTACAGATTTTAAAAACTTGTATAACTAAAATCCACTAAGAATCTTTCCTTTTTTTATCAAAGATAATTGTACATACATTAAATTTCCCTCTATTTCCACCTTTCCAATTTCTCTAATTTCCATTACAACTATTCTAAAATATTAATATATAATATCTATTACACAGGGAAAACATTTCTTGAGGAGATGAATACCCATATTGCCTTCCTCAGGTACACCACTGCTATAATATTAATACAATCATATAGTAATTTTTTGTATCATTCTATGATTTTCATTACAGATTTTTTTGACAGGATGTAAAATAAATCGTTTGGAAGTTAGTGCCGTGGAATTAGGTAGACTAATGATCTCTTGTGTGTGGATTTTTTTGGATAAGAATGAGTAAAAGTTCAAATAAAGACGTATTTGTCAAACTAAAATTATTATATTTTCAAGAATACAAATTTTATATTAATGTGATAAAAAAAAATAAATATATTAAATCATTAAACAGTTTAGAATCGATTTTACTATTTGTAGATCATAGAGTAGAAGTATTGTTATACATATAATTTAATTGTCAGTAATATAGACAGAACAACAAATAAAAACCTACACAACCTTGTATATTATTACATTTAAATGTAGATTTTTCATTTGATTATACATAACTGAAGAAAAAAATAAATATTAATTTATTATTGCTACCAAACAAAAATAATTATACTAAATGTACTGGTAAAAAATAAATAAAATGAGCATATTCTACAATTCTCTAATTTTTATACATTATCTAACAATGAGTTAATAAAGTGAATTTTCGCGAATTATAATTTAAAAAAAATAAATTGAAACTAACAACCGATGACACAAACATACATAAATATTATCTATATATATTGTACATACGAATGTATGATACTTATAACGTAATATTCAAAACAATAATAAAAAAAAAAATTTACAAAACTAAATTATATACATATATACTAACTATATAATGTAGAAAACATCAATGAACACACACACACACACACACAAATGCACAGAGTAATTATTTTTTTAAACATTTGATTCCTTAGAAAATGTACTTAAACACTTAAACTGCTAACCTAATAAATAATACAATTACGCCTATGAGTAAATAATATATATATATATATATAATATATAATGCATTATTACGAAAAACATAATATAAACCTATTTATCAAATAAAAATCAAATTGCACTTGGCAAATATTAATGAAAACATACACACTTCTCACACATATATTATATGCATTTTATTCTTATATAATATTAATAACCGTACTAAACAATTAAACACAAAAGCTGATGAATAATATAATGTTCTTTTTTGGAAACTTAGTGCTTCTACTATAATAGCATCACAAAAGTTATAAAAAAATTGCACTGGGATCTAAATTAATATTTCAATACATCAGTTTTGAAAGAAAAAAGAAAGAAAAAAAATTTGGTTATATAGTTAAAAGTTAAAACGCAAAAAAAAACTTTACAAATCAATAAAAATAAAAATAATGTTTTATGCGTATTTACAAGAAAGCAATTTAAAAATTATTAATTGAAACCTAACCGTTTGAGAGTATTTTTGCCAGCTACACGTGGCACTCCATCGTTATGACCAGCCCACGTTTTCGCCTTGGACCTGAATTTTTTTAAATCTTTGGTGTGAGCCGGATCAATCATTGACAGATAGTTAGATGGCACACATAGACGACGGTACTGACCGTAAAACTTACAGTATCCACCATCAAGCAAATACATTTCAGGATAGTCCAAATATGGATAACATGTACTATTTTTATGTCGATCTACATTACGTAAGTATCGTGATCTAAAATACAAAAACAAGAGTTTATGGTTTTTCTTTTACTTAAAAAGTAAAAATACCTACAATAATATCCGTTATATATAATAAAATAATAAAGTAAAAACAAAATTATTAAAATGGTTAATACTCATAAATAAATATATAAATAAATAAATGTTTGTAAGCGTCACCTGGAGTATTATAATACGTGTATTATATGACTGATTTTCGAATTAAAAATTAACATTAGGTATATCACAGTCAAAAATGTAAATCGCAACTCGAAACGATTAATATAATACACTTATCATAATACTTCCAGGCAATATATTCATCCACTAATTTTTATATCTATACATTTTTTTATTTATATATTTATTTACTATATCCATTTCAATAATGAAATACTATTACATTATTATTAGAACAGATATTAATATGTCTTAAAATCTAGATGCATATACAAATTAAAAATATCAAAATATGCCTGAAAAAAAAAAAATTATTGAAAATTGTAGAATTTTATTTTATTTTAATAGTTAGTTATTATTAATAAATAATATTTTAATCTAAAACACATTTAACTACAATTATTACTATAGACCGACATTTCAATATGTAAATATCTTGAACAAATTATTTTGTTATCTTGAAAATGTATGATGTGTAACTTAAACACATAATCTAAAATTGTTCAAATTTTAAAATATGTTCTAAATCGACAAATATGCAAAATATAATTTTGTATATAGAACCATACTATAATATGGTACAAATTAGCTATGTTTTTAATCCACCAATATAAATAAACAAAAAAAAAAAAAATAATGTCTGTCTTAATTACCTATGCATTTAGTTAAAAATAAATATTTATAATAGAATCAGTGTAATGTATTATGATCAAATTGATAAAAAAACAATATAAGCAAAAAAAATTGAATAACAAAAACAAAAAAATAAACCGATAAAGGGAATAAATACCATAACACAAATAATGAAAATAATAAAATAGTTATATTACTTTATGGTAATAATCATTCTGTTATTGTTATCAAGTGGTAATACTGATGAGTGAATCTGAATGGCACTTGTTCGAAAAATGATAGGTACCGTTTTTGGAAGACCAGCCTGTTCACACATTAACATGCTGCATACAGTCCATTACAAATAAAAAACTACCAAGCATGGTTTTGTATAACAAATCGGAGGTTTATTTTTGTTTTATTTCTTCCATTTGCTTCGTCTGAAGCCAAATGCTCCAAACAAAGCAATATTACAATTAAATATAGTAATATTTAATAATCAAAAGATTAGATATTTAAAATTACAGTTAGTTATTATTTATCCTATTATTATTATCATTTTCGAACAATTGCCCTCTACCCAATCCTGATAAGTGATAACTAATAAAGCTGTATATATTATTATTTATTGGATTAGGCAATGTAATAGTGCCATAGTTTTAGTTACCCAAACTTATGTGATATGAACTAACATATTGTTCCTAAGTAACTTGTTAATGTTGACAAAATTAATTTAAAAATATATACATTAAGAAATTATTAATATAATTAAATTTTTAAAAAAATTATAAATTATGAAACATATTTGTAATTTGAACTAAAAATCATTCCTACAATAGTGTAAACAGATAACCTATACTCTGCCCTACAAGAGAAGTAAACCATTTCGCACATGTAGACTAACAATAGTGACTGTTCAGAGATACAGCTATCTCCACTTTGTTACATTTAGTTATATGCCGTGATATGTATACATGCACATAATTGGACATGTTTTAGTTAGAACAGGGTTCACTTCTCTCATGGGCCAGAAAAATATTTCATAATAATTATTTTGATTACATTTTAGGTACTATTTAATATTTGTGTTATAATAAAAGATTAAATATAAAGTATAAATACAAAATATATAATTAAATATATTAGTTATAAACCTATATTAAATAATAAAATAATAAAGTAAAAACAAAATTATTATAAAGTTAATACTCTTAAATAAATATATAAATAAACAAATAAATGCGTCAACTGGAGAATTAATATGTGTAGGTTAGGTTAGGTCATACAATACACATATCAAAATACTCCATTAATTAATTTATAAATCTATTTTGAATGCACATATTAAATTATACTTACAAACTTGGACCTCTTTCTGATGAAAATTCACAATGAAAGATTAAAACATTTCTCTTTCGATTAGTGTTATCATCATTTTTAGATGATTTTTTACCCAATTTGCCATCTGTATAATTTTTAAGTAGTTGTTCTTTAGTAAATATGTTAATTGCACTTTTTATATGGCCACCTTCATATTCATAGGGATATCTATTAAAAAAAATAATTGATAAATACAAAATTTCTTATTACTTATAATATAAAACAACTAAATTACCGGCAATCTATTATTAAATACGAGTCAATACGATCATCATAGATACCATCTATCAAACTAGCTAATGTATCAGGAGATATGCTACGGAGATCTGCATGACGACCCATTGACAATAAAGGTAGAATAAATGATTGACTGAAGTCACCAATTAGATCTATTTCATTGTCTTCTAAAAATAAAAACAATTACACATAGTTTTACACAATTACAATTTCCAAAAAGATTCAACACTTAATGTACAACATATAAACCAAATAAATAAAATATTATCTACATAAAACTTTTACTTTATAATCTGTAACAGAATGATTTAAATATCAAATTTTACAATTACTATTTTTATGTTGACAAATTTGTATTATTAAATAGTACTTCATATTTTTATTTTAACTATTTTAATTAAAACATTTTTTCATGGAACTAAACATATTCAATAAATGTTGTATAAAACATTATAATAGATAGAAAATAGGCATTGTAATGTATATACTGCTTTAGAAAATAATCAGTGGTGGCTCATGGGTAAAATAATTGGTGGTGCACATTTAAATAATTGTATACAATAAAGATATAATCAGTTCCCAATGCATGATATTCTCCGTAGGCAGACGGCTATATAGCCATGGAGGTGCAATATTTGTTTGTGCACCAACACACCACAAGTCTAATAGTAATTGTGCCAGTAGTGAGAATGAAACAGTCAAATGTGCATGTGTGACTGGTGCAAAAATTGTATTTACAAGTCTATACTCCGTGATTGCTGCTTATTGTGTACAATTGCATACCTATAACGTGCGATAACATTCATTTTTTCTAGACTTTTCACATTAAATATTTCTTAAATTCTATAAAATAATTTTTATTCTTGTCTCTAAAATAAATCTGAATGCATTTCTATATATATTATATTAATTAATAATATATTTTTTTATTGTAGTAAAACAGCAATGTTTAGGTAGTTTTCAAAATTGTAGGTGGTATACTGCTCCTGTGCACCATAACACAAGCCGCCACTGAAAGTCATCATTTAAATGTCCCAAAACAATGTTTAAGATTAAGAAAAAAATATGTTAATTTAAATATTTAATTTATTATAGAGATTCAATAAGTAGTTATGAAGTTTTTGTGTTCCCGATAAAAACAAAAATAACCTAATACTATCATACACTGAACAAACCCAAACAAGACTAGTGTTTAACACTTAGTTTCAATAACCCTATTTTGTTTCTTACCTTTCTCAAATGCAGCTTTTATTGTGGCTTCACTAGTAGAAAATGATCTTCTTAATTTTGAGGAATTCTTTTTACAAAATCCATAGTCAAAAAGTGTAGTTTTTCTTTGAGATACAGGGGCAGTTCGAGAAATGTTTGAAGGTTCTGGTCTTGGTGATTCAAATGACATAGAAAGATCAACATTAGGCTTTAATTTTTTTGATCCATTAGATATCTCAGAAGGACGTTCAAATTCATCAATTAATTTTCGTTTTCTTGCAAAATTATCTGTGTTTTTTATATCTTCAAAAACTGAATCCTAGTTTAAAGAAAATCATATTTAAATTAAACATATTTCAAAATTAATTAGCATCAACAAAATGAAATACTTACAGATTTTCTAGGTGTATCAGTAGAATATTTTGAATTAACTCTTCTTCTGACAATAGGTTTTATAACAGGTGAACTTTGGCTAAATATATCTCCATCGATTAAAGAATTAAATCCAGGTGGTAATGAATCCTGAGACTATAATAATTATTGATTACATAAATTATAATTAAATAGAAATGATTGCAGTAAAAACATTAAATAATAACTACCAATCTAGCTGGTGATATAGCATTATCTAAAAATGTGTCATCAATATCAGCAACGACAGTTGGAGAAACAAATAATTCAGACCGAGAAATATCTAATGACAGTTTTCTTCTTTCATTTAGATTTTGAGATTCAATTAATCTAAAAATGCAATAAAATAGATTATTATTTTTTTATTAAAATTAAACATTTAATAAACTTTAATTACTTATTTGAAAAAAGATTAAATCTATACCTAGTTAATGATCTTGCATCTTCAGAAGGCACTGAAAAAAAACCACTGTCTTGTGAATTTGGATCATGATCTTCTAGTGGGTGACGGCCTCGTGTATGACGACTATTAATCATGAACTGAAAACATATAATGTTTATCAGTACCAATCTTAATAAAAAAAATTCAAATTGTCAAGATCAACTAAACATTTTTATTAATGTTTTAATGGCTATATTAGATGATAAATAATATAATGTACAATAATAGTAAGTTACCAAACATTAATATACAGACAAATTTTGAAATAAAAGTGATGAGACTTTATTGCTACATAAATTATTGATATTAAGCTAGTGTTATTTTTGCAAACATTAAACGAATCATAATACACTATATCAGTAGAGATTTATTTAAGTAAGAGCATTGTAAAAAGTACATAGTTTGATAACGTAATAAAATGTTTAATTAAATATTATGAAATAAAGGTACCGTTGGACTTGGTATATTTGGTGATGAAATTGTTTTGGTGACAACCATATCCACACACTTAGATGAGTTTTCTTTTTCAACTGGACTGCTCATAATTTTTTGAATCATCAAACATTTTAATGAAGAGCTATCATTAATATTTTTTGAATTTCCCTTAAATAATCTTTGATACAACAATATATTATTATGTTTTCAAAATAATCACACCACAAATATTTTACATCAAATAAATTAGTTATTTACCTATTATTTTCAATCCCTAATGAGCTGTTTCTATCATGTTCTGTAAACAATTATTCATTAAAATTGAAAACCATTGTTTGAAAAACAAATCCATTAAGAATTAAAAGCATTAAACATAATATTTATAGTTACCATGGAGTATGTTGTCATAACATTTTTTCGGAGTTTCATTGGATTCAGACAATGTCAATCTACGTCTGACTGACAGTGTTGTTCCAAGACTGTTGGCTAAATTTGTCATAGGTGATGCTATTTCTTGATTTGTTGTTCTATCATTGACTGAACTCATTTTGAAATTATGATGTTGATAGGTTTTATTTTAATGTATATAAATGTATAGTATGCAGCCTTGACTAATCTGTAAGGACATTAAGAAAATAAATATTTGTATAACGATTTTACATACACAAGAACTGTCTGACTAATAGGTAAATATATAAACATTGTAATAACCTTAATTCATTTTTAATATTGAGGAAATAGAAATACATGATTTTGTTTTATTATCATACCATTATTTTTAAAATGATTAGTAATTAACAGAACGTAAAGTACAAATGAAAAATTTAGGTAAGTACAATTTGTATGTGATATTACTAAATTGAGAATATTTAATAGGAATTTTGATTCATAATATTGAAAATATTATAATTTTTAAGAAATAAATAATACAAGCAAATGCAGTTTCAGTATTTCATGGTTTATAGGAGTTAATTTAACAAAAAAGTATACCTGCATTTCAAATACCCGGTATAACAAACAGCAAAGCATGTTACTTAGAAGTGTAATGTTATTGAAATTGTAGTTTAAACACTAATAACATAATTTAAAAGGGAAAATCTTTTAATTTTTACTATTTTATTTGAAAATATTGTCAACAAAAAAGTCACAGTAATGTTAATTTATGATTTTTCTAAATACCTGTAACCTTTTTGTTTGACAAGGTTTTAGAAAAAAAGCAAAATACTGCTTTGGAAAAAAATATTTTTTTATTTAAATATTGTAACTCTAATTTCAACTTTAAATTCTGTTATTTAAAATTATGAATGGGGTTATTAGTTTTACTAAAATGGTTTAAGATTTTTCTTAGAAAATACTTTTACATGTCTAATGAAGATGGTCCAATTTTTTCATACTTTAACATACTTATTTTTATCAATTTTTATTTAAACTAATATCCGATAGTCAGTTTAAAAAAAAATGCTATCCTAGGATAATGGGGATGGGTGCAGCCACTGTTATAGGTAATTTAATGTATATCTGTAAGCAACAATTAACCATTGCTTATGAAAAATCAATTTTGAACCAAGTTCAGTTGATAGTGTAGCTTTGTCAACAATATATATCAAATTATATTAAAATAATTATATATGCATTATATATTTTCTTTAATAATATTTGTTTAATATTATAATTATTTTCCCTTTTTTCCCATTAATTGGAAAAACTCCTGGGAAAATCAAAAAATGACCTCCTCAAAATACCTCCCCGGTCAAATTTCTTTTCAGAAAAGGTGCTACAATTAAAAATAGCAACAAGATTTTTGGTAAAAAACTTGTCCACAAAACAAAAAAATAAATATCATTGTAAAGTCATAAACTTCTTTACTCTACTCAGAATCTAAACCAAATTTGAAACTAAAAAATTACAGGGAAACAGGTGTACCTAATATAATTTTCGTATTAATTCTAATTTCTCTTTTGGTTACATCTACCCAACACAGCTACTGTTTACCTAAGGCCCTATACTAGCTATACTTACCAATTTTAAATTAAAATAGCTAGCTACTTTAAATTGTATAAGATAATTCATAAATATTGTCCTTCTTTTAATTATTCAAATAAACTTAGTTTTGGTACCTATCTAATTAATTTAGTAATAACGGATCCTAACAATTTTGAATTAAAAGCTTAAGTTAAATACCATACCACTGCATGATTAGTTTAAATTAGTAGGCAGTGGCCTACTTACTATCATAAACATCAAATTGACTTATCGGCCTGATCCATTAGAAAAAAAAATATAAATAACGAATACTATCTAGTGAGGTATTCGTGAAAATGTTTATCTAAGAAACTTTGAACTTCCAGTAAAGGGATATTCGTTAAAACGTTGAAGCTTATTAGCCAATGAAAGGTCGGTGACCGATGAACACTAAAACGAACACCTGCAATGATCGCGAAGATGACGTATGACGAATATAAGCGCAAGATAGAGAAAAACTAAATCGTTTTCGAACCAGGAAACTTTAATAAGCCGGGTTCACCGACATTTCCGGTTTGCGAAAACTTAACAACGCAACGGCGGCTGGGTTCAACACTAACGCATTTAAAGTATACTTCCCTTTACTTACTTTTCAGAAAACCGTCAACTACTGCTTGTTTTGCTACTACTACTGGTAATGTTATTTTTGTTTTGAAGACCAACGACCGATAAACGCCACCACATTCTCGTCGATAAACTATTAAGTGATCCGGGCGTCGTTTTATTATTCTCGAGTTTTCGATTCGGAATAATAGTTTTGTGTATGGTCGTTTAAAGACTGTAATAAACGACTTAAGACTGCAATCATGAGGTTCGTGTGCCGTACGATTACGGAGATAACGGGACGAAAATAAAGTGCGAAAAAAAAAAGTGATTAATCAAAACCGAATCGAACACACGGAATACACAGCCGCCGTCGACTGCGATTAAAGAAAATACGGCGGCCAGTCGATTTTTGAAAATTTAACGGGCGACGTGGCGGCGGCGGCGGCGGCGGCGGCGTATGGTAAACCAGTGGGCAACGTCGGGCTACGCACACGAACGGGATCGGTTTCGGGCTACGGCCGTCAGAGCGCGCCAGCCGTTCGCTTGCCGGCGACGGCGCGGAGGAGTTGGGTTACGGGTTACGACCGTATGTCGCGCCGCTCGATCGTATCGCCGCACGATTCACGGTCGCGGTCGACGGCCCGGGGCCGGGGCTACACCCGTACAATCGGTACGGTGTCGGGGACCGGGGGGGAAAGAGGGCACAAAGAGACGTCGGTTTCGCGCTTTTGCGCCAGTTCGTCAACCCCTGCGCGGCTCATTATTATTATTATTATTAATAACGTTCAACGGGCGGGACGACTTTTTTGTTCCGTAACGCGCGCAAAACTCGCTGCCGGCCAACCAGCCGGCCGGGCGAAGAGGGAGCGGCGTGCCTCTAAGGCCGCGCCGTTACCGTTGCGGTCACGGTACCCGCATAAAATGTATGCAACATTTTTTTTTTCCTTTTTATCAATTGAATTTGTTCGCGAATTTCTGATGGCGCGACGTCGCCGCCATGGTATTACTATTAGGCGTGCGCCCAGAAGCGTAGGTAGTTACAGGGGTAGGAGGAATAGGGAACGGGACACTTCCCTGCTCACCCCTTAGAAAAAAAGAAAAATCGATTTTTTTGCGATGATATTTTTACTACAAATTTAATATTGTTGTAGAACAGTTGAAAAAGTCAGATACTCTATTCTCGAAAAAATCAACATCCATTGGGACTATTTAGTTGATGAATGTGCATGAAAAAAAAAAATGTTTACGCGTAATTATGTATTGGTTTGTTTATATTGAAATTATACACAATTTCAAAAAATGATCACCCGTCTCCCCTTCCTAATCAATATGTCTGGCTACGCCCGATACCCATCTATTAAAAGAGTCGTGTATAAGTAGGCAAAACCTTTCGAAAAAAATTGGTGAACACGAAATAATTCGAATTCATTTATACCTAATATCAAACTTAGTTCCGTGGTATTATCACAAATTCACAAATATTTGTATCGTTTAGCTAATTTGTTCGTAAACAATATTATGATTGCGTAAAACGGAAACAAATGCCATTCAAAATGATGTTAGAGTTTTTGCGAAAATTAAAGGCAACGATACGTTATCTATATAAGGTGTATTCGTTTTCAATTTACTCAAAAGATACGGTAGATGTTCACAAAAAAGTGGCCTATTTTAGACAAGGTATCTTTATGATAAGTAGTATTTATAAATACTTATCGCACGAAAAAATTAATTATTGATGAATTATAGTTGCAATAGTTGCAATTATACGATTGGAATTTATAAATACTTATTTAGAGTGTTGAACCCTCTTCGACAAATGCCCAGATAGGTACTAAAATTACCTATAAATTATAGACCCAAATCAAAAAGTGCTGAAAATACTGAAGCCACTGGACATACTTTTTTTTCGACACATGGGTTTTATGTTTTAAAAGCCTCTCACGCTGCACTCTGGCAAATATTCTTAATAGTGATGTACTTAGCTATATTTAGTACCTCGCAAAGATAAATATAATATTAGTAACAGTTATTCAAAACCGTTTTTTTTTGGTTATAAATTAAGAACTATGTCCTATGATAATAATCCGTTATTAATTAATATATGGTACAATTTTACCCGGAGCTGAGACGCTCCCGGGTAAATGTTCCCTTTGCCCCTGCAAACCCCCCACCCTCATTGTAACACGGCCTAAAATATATAACCTACCTTCGTCTCGAAATATTCCAAAGTCACCCTCCTATTTTATACATTTTCCCCGTGACAATTGAAGCAATTCCCTCGACAAAGGGCGCACGAGAACAGCTATATAGGTACAGTATGTACGGATACACCCTTTGTCAACCGATAGCCTCTCAAAAAATCACAATGAAGATAGGTAGATTTCTAGTTTAGAAATCAATAGGGTGCTTTTCGTCGTGCCGTGTGTACAATTTTTTATGTTTACGACTTGTAGGTTAGGTATTGAATAGCAACGCCACACACGGCATGACGTACATAATATATTTATTATTCCTTCAAACCGGATTTAGGAAAACGTGACCTAGGAGCCACGTTCATCGAAGAAGACTGCTGAAAAATTGCACGTTCCCGTCGACTTTGGAATTCCGGATAAATTGCACGTGTCTAGATACGATATCCCGGATTAACTACGGATACACCATAGTAAAACCAATACACTCCTTATCGCTTCGCTCAGAATCTAAAAAACTGAGAAATAATTAGTTTTGCTAAATTTAAAATTAAATTATCGTGTAATTGCCGACTCAGTAGATAACGTCTAAATTCCTGTGCTCTCTCTTATCACGGATTTTGCGACTAAGCCTCCTCCAAATAAATCCATTACTATTTATTAGACAACCTAAAAATTTGGAAATTTTAACTATAAAACCAAATCTAATATTTTTTTTCTGCACATTGTGGTGTCGTAAAAATAGAACCCTAATAAAAACGTCGCGAGTTGTTCTAATAATAATATTTTGTCACACTATTTATAAATTAATAAACACAATACATAGATATTTAGATTCAACCATAATAATTATTTAATATTTACATCACCTGCAAAAATTGTAATATTTGCAGCAGTGTAGCCAGGATTTTGGACTAGGTGGAGAGAGGGTGTCAAAAAAGCCAAAAATAAAAAAATCAATCAGGAATAATTCAATAATAATTTATTTTATTTTCATAACAATAATATTTAAATTTAAACATTTTTATTTCGATCAATCTAATAAAAAGAAACATTTAATTATAATTGTTCACTAAAACTTTGAATAACTTTTGCATCAGTTATTTCTTCAGATTGTTTGCTATTTATCATAGCTATAGAGGCCGGATTTATATTCTTTTTGAATCCACAAAAGGCGCTTAATAAAACCTGATAAAAATACTTTTAAAACATTTAAAAAAGTAAAAATGATAGAGGGGTATAAATTCCTTCTCTAATGACAAAGTTATTGAATTAAAATTATTAATACTACATAAATGGTTAACACAAAATTATTTCTTTTAAAAAAAATCGTATTATAAAAAAAAATTACTTTGTATTAATCATTATTGTGGTGTTAGAAAATAGTATTTATAAATTAAATTAAGGATTAAATCCATTTAAATGGGGATTAATAAACCCCTTTATTATTTTTGCGTTTCCATAATTTGTTAAGTAAATTTTCTCCAAGGCTTTTTGACGTTTTCAAGTGCTTTTTCGTGGAGTTTAAGAACATATAAACCCGGTTTCTAGTCATAGCTAATTCATTATTAAACCGTAAATAATTTGTCGATAACTTTATATTGTGGAAACGGTGCGTCCTGTAACCGATAGGCAACGTTGTACAAAATCGAAATGACAAATTCACATTTCGCGATTGGTATAATACAGTACAATTTAATTTTTATAATAATAAAACAACATAATGCTTTTGGGGATTAAAAAGAATGCTACCATACAGGAGTTTTCCAAAAGTTTTTTACAGGGTTTACTGGCCCCTCCTCCGCCCCGTGGCTACGGCCGCTGATAATATTCACCCATTCAACAGTGCGGGGTCTTAAAACCGACCGTTCGTCTCGGTGTGACCGCGGCAACCACAGTGTAATACCGGATACGCGTGCCCGATAACCGTTATATGTATATAGGTAAATACTTACCGTGTTACCTGTTAGATAAGTATTATTATTACGCGTTTACGGGCTTATCGACAATATTCAATTATTGATGTCGTTCGCATTGTGTATTGGATACGGTTTAGTTATGCGGTACACACATTATTCATATTGTACATTTATTACAATTACGTCAGACACTAAAACGCGTATTATGATAAATTATTATTATGCATTATATACGAATGGCGTGATGAACTCATTACATTATCTTTACCTATTTACGCGGTACAATAATAATTAATAACAAATAATTATAGGCAGCCCACATATGATGTTGATTATCGTATTGTTTTTTTCTGTTTTATACCTGTTTGCGTGACAATCTTTTAGCGAAAAACTCTACACGCGTACGCACTCGAAAATATTCTTATTTTAGATTCCGAGCGTAGCGAGGGAACTTTTGGTTTTACAATGCTGTTTATTTTTTTTTTTTTCTTTGTTCTTTGTTCTAGTCTGTGGATACGTTTTTTCCTAGTAAACTTGCTCCGATTTTTACGTGTAGCAACTTTTCGGAAAGCTCAAGTTGTCTAGATTGTACAGTAAAATGGTCATTTGATTTTTGACGCCATTTTTTAAATAAAAGCACTTCAGTGGGAAAAAACGTAGGAAAACGTAAAATTTTACGATTTCATTATTTTATAAAAACACGGACGACGTTTTTTACCAGAAAAAATTATTTAATCGAAAAATCACAAAATACCTTTTTTGTTGCCTTATTGATTTACTTTCTTACAGTATCATCGAAGAAACTTTTGAGCTTTTAAGGAATTTTAATTTTGGTAGTTTTTCGCTGTAATTCAGTTATAAATACATGTAGAGACTTGAAACTTGGTAATAATACGTATATTGAACTTACCTAAATGTAGTAAAATTTCCAAAATCATCGGACGACTTTTTTTTTCTTTAATAAGCGTTTTGAAATCAAATTTAAACGAAAATCGCAAAAAAAATTACGGCACTTTAAATTATGATTACCGAACTGCACTCGGAATCATCTTTCGTAAAGCAAAGGTTTATCGTTGCTTACAGATATAAATAAAATAGCCTTATATACCTATACCTTCCCAACTTCCTCACTTACAACAGTGGACGCTCCCATCCCCATTTGTACTATTTTAAATAGTACAAGTAGACAGTAATAATGACATCTAATAATATATCTATAATAAATCTCGATTTAATACCCAACCGGAATCCTTTGTAATGATTAATGGTCGACATCATTACGTGAGGGTGACGAATTCGAAAAAAAATTACTAAGACATAATAATCGATATAAC